TGATTCAAAGTTTACCCTGCTTAGACCCTTATATCTCCTGGCTCCAAATGTTGTAGTGTGATATATAAAACCCTCCTAGAATAGGAAAAAAAAAAATGTTGCAGCCAGTGATATTGGCCGATTTATGACGAGGCGTGTGGTTCACAGCATCGGCCGAATACCATGGGTACAATGGGGCTTTGGATTCTGGCCCGAGTGTGTGCTGAAGGAAAGGGCTGGGGAGCGGCCTAGCGTTCATGGCACTTGCGTCTGTCCAAGGCTTGGCGCAGTATGCACAGTCTTCTTTCGTAGCATTCCCTGAACAGGCAGAGTACCCACCGGATCACTGGCACGTCTCGAAAGTTCGGTCGTTATGACGCAGTCGAGAGTCGCCACGGAAAAAGGAGCAAAGAGACATGTGTCAAATTCCCGATGTCTCACTGCTCTGGGCAAAGCAGCAAGGACGGTTGTTTGTAGGGCCTGCGGAGTTTTACTGTTGCATGCGTGTAGTGCACGACAAGACCTCGGGATGAGATATTTCGGTTTCATCCCTTAATATCATCCGCAGATCGCGCCTTCGAGGCTGGTTGATACAAGAGAGGAGATAACTTCAGTAGTTCAGACGCGGGGAAACCGGGATGTATGAGTTGAGACTGAGTCAAAGGCTCTACGAGAGCATGTTGAAGCCCCAGGACAGCTGTACCTGTCACAGCGTAACCTTGGAGGGCGGCGCTCTTTACGTTCCGAGCTGCCGAGCTGCAAATCGGACATCTGAGGGATGAGAAATATCTTGCCCATTCACTTTTGGAACAGGTTCTCGAATCTTCAGACACTTCTAGTCCCTTGCTCCGGTGAGCCGCACAAGGGCTCGTTTCTAGGATCATGTCTGATAGTCTCGTTCGTGACAGTGCGCGTCTTCTGCAAGAGCCCAGCCAGCCGGTTCAGTGGTGCGACAGCATAGAAGACGAGTTCTAAGATCGGCGGTCAGTAGAGGCATAAAGAGTTGTGCGAAACATTCAGAACCCCCCCCTTTTGTCGATTCACGAAGGCGTGGAGGCAGCATGTTTGGATCGTAAACCCAATCTGAAGCAGTGGATTACACGGAGGAGATACCGGACTGGCTCCGTCGGGCAAGGTGACATGGTGAGGTTCGAAGTCTATGTCGGCAACTGCCATTAATGGCAATGGCAAGATAACCCCTTGTTAAGGGATGGAAGATTAGGAGGAGTGAACTAGCGCAAAGCTTGGCATGAAATGCGGGTACTGATGTGAGATCCTTGTAGGTATAGTCCGAAGAGAGAAGTGAGTGACTTGAGTATGTGTCAGTGATGATCATGCAGGTGGGTAGGGATGGCACTTCATGCGGGTATAAAAGCCGTTTTGAGTGTGGAGACCGGTGCCATTGTTTAGCGTTACCCGTTTCACCAAGATTTGGCATTGCGGTGTCGGCCTCGGAGTGGTGGCGGCTGCAGCAACGCAGAGGAGCCGGTGGTTTGCTAGAGTGCCCATGCCGAAGCTGTCGCAGGTCTCAAGCCCAGACTGGGGCCAGGCGGGGGCTGTTAAAGGAGGCTGGCTGATAACCCGCGTCACATGCGGAGGGGTTCGTAAACACAAGACAATGCTGACGGGCTTGAGGGTTCGGGTCGCCGATGATACTGAAGGCGGAACGAGTCGAACTCGGGGCGAACCAAGCCGGGGGTGACAGGTAGGTGTTAGGCTCCCCAACGTTGAGTATGCGGGAGTATTCGAGTTGGATAAGGTGCCGAGTCCCGAAACGAGCTGGGCGGGCACTGTGCGGGTGCTGTCAGTCGTCGTGTTGCGGGTGGGTTGAAGCGAGTGTGAACGAGGCAAAGCCTCAGCCTCGCTCAAGAGGCGACGTTGAGCCAAGCAAGAGATGGGCTGATGGACGGGTGGAAGAAAGCGAGATGCTTGATCTCTTTAAGCTTGAACAGCGGAGCGACAGACGGTTGATTTGACCGATTAATTAGGGTGAATCAAAGACAGGTGATCTGTAAACAATATCGTACGAGTCTGACGTGGAAGAAGGCATGGATGGGTCGATGGAAGGCTTCTTTGCTGGGTAGTGTGGACGAGTGGCACGTTGAGCAAAGGGGCCAGACATGGAGAGAAAGAGCGCCCAGAGGTGAAAAGTCATGCGCCATTGGACCCGACCCAAGCTGCAGATGGCTCTTTCGCGAGTGCCAAGGAGGAGCAGGCCACCTGGCGGAAGGGGTCAGAAGCGCCAGGGGCCAGAACGGCTGTCATGCGAACCTTGCTCGGGCGACAGGTGGGGGGGGTTGGATGGAATCAAAGTGGTGGAATTGGGTTGACGTGTGAGGTTAGCATGCACCCAAGTGACCAGGGATGGAGGGCGTTGGCAAGGGTCGGAACGAGAGCCTCGAGGTTTGATGCACGCGACGGGTCGATAAAGCCGCGAAGGATCTTGTAGGTTTCATGACGGGGATAAGATATTGACGAGGGGGGTGGGTTACTTCACTAAGACCAAAGTGCTGGGATGACGAGTTTGGAAATTGACGGGTGCCACATGGCCTATAACGGCCAAATACTGAAAGAAGACAATGAGGACGGACGGTTGTGGATAGGGGACCCCCCTCTGTAACCTTGGTCCCCTGTCGCTAATCCTAAACTTAACTAGCGCGACCAAGAGGATGACCCCTGTTGCGCTTGCCGGTTTCCCGTCACTTATTCTTGACTTATTTTTCTCTCAGTGAGGAAGGAAGAGTTCCCCAGGTGACTGACTGACTGACTGGCCAGAAAGGCAGATAGGCATCCGATATGCCCCGATGCATTTTCGCATACTGCCTGTATTTTTGGTGCTGCTAAGTCTCAACTTGCAGAATAGCTACCGAACTAATTCGGGCACCTTGAGGAGGCCACTGCCAGGGGTCATGCAGGTCGTCGAATTGCATCCATCACCATGGATGCAGGCAGGTGGACGAAATAAACACATCTCGGTAGTCGAATCTTGCCACAGGTGTGCCTAGGTAGTCAGAATAGCACCCTCTCAGAATACGAAGCATGCCTAGGTACCTGACTAGGTAGCCACCTAGGTACTAGTACTAGGTATACCTGTTCGTAGGTGCTGCGCAGAGGAAACCATAGCGAATCGTGTGTCACCCACCACCAGTCAGCCACTGCACCCTCCCGTGCATTTCTCCCACCGTTAAGCGCCCAGCGAACATGGACCCGACCAAAACGGGTCTGGCGTCCGTGTTCCAAAATTACGCCCCCGCCAATCAGCAATCGTATTTGCTTCTTTTTCACGATTCCCATCACCTGTTTAACTGTCCACTCTGAGATCCGTTCGTCTGGGCGCGCGGCAAGAGAGCAAAATACGTGGGCTGTCCTGCCCAGCTGACCATTAACTGTAGTCGCTCGACACGACGCTGCGCTGGAGGAATTGGACAATGCCCCCCCCCCGACCGCAATAGCTGCATGCGCCATGCGATCAACGTCCATGGCTCTGGCGGAGTCGATGTGGAAGCGCGTATATGAGGATCCGAACTCGACCCGTTGCACCTATTTCCCTTTTGATTCCCTGGGTTTCCCATTCCTTTCCTTTATCCCCTCTCCCCCTTCCCAACAGTGCGGTACACCTTATCTTATTTCCGGTCATAAAATCCTCTGTTGGTTCCAACTCGCAGCAATTGAGCGTGGCATCGCACCTACGGCGCATAACAGAATCGAGCCGCATTTGCCACAGCGGTATAGCAGAGGAAGCTGTGAAAAAAAACAAAGCGAGAGAGGGAAAGAAAAGCGGATACAATAGTCAGCCCCCTGTTGCAACCGAAACGTCAGAATAGCTTCGGAGCCCCTCGTCAAAGCGCCTCTAACAGAAGTCGTCTCAACTCCGCCCACCACCTGTCGCACCTGGCCCTGCCTGCCGTCTGATGAGTATCGCCTCTCGGATCGGACTGACACAGCTCCTTCCAACTACGAAACCCCTCCAACGTCTGATCTACCAAACCGCCCAGTCAATTACCCAGAAGCCCCCCCCCCGGCCCTGTCCTGTCCACCGCGCCCCCCGCTACCAACTCACACAGGTTTTTTTGTAGTTTTTTTTTTTTCTCCCTTCAATTTCTTCGTGTTACCTTTTTCCCTCCTTGGTCCATGTCAAGCCACCCTTACAGCAAGTGGATGAACGACACCCTGCTCAACAGCTATCGATATCGACAGGGGGGCTCATGGGACATTCAACATCCGAACAACTTGGCCCCAATATCATCATCATCATTATCCACCCCCTTCTTTCCGCATCGCACGGCACCGCCAGCGACCAGCGAACCTCCTCCACCACTACAACCTTCCATTGCCGGATCCAAGTCTATCCATCCCACAGCGATAGGCTCTCCCCGGTCCACCCTGGTCTCCTTCCAATAACCGATTTCCGTCCAGAGCCATCCCTGCTACGCGAGCATCAGGCGCGCCAAGTAGACAAATCCACCCTCACAACGGATACTGCTCGGTGTTGACTGTCTTCCGGCTCGTCTCTTTATGACTTTCTCCCCCCCACCCGCCCCAAGCTTCGTCTCGTCTTCTTCCACCTCCTCCTCTCCACCCTCATTTTTCTCTTCTTCTTCTTCGTTGTTTCTCGGCTAGGTCGAAGAGTCAAAATTAAACCCTCGAGCCCGTTGCGACTAACGAGATTCCTTCCTTTCCTTCGCTGCTGGCTCAGATCATTCTTTATTAAACCATCCAAACCCGTTTGCTTGGTGTCTATTTTTTCCTTCCGCTGCTATTGTTCGTCGAGCGCGCCGCTCTGGATATCTAAGAGACGTTTTTTTAATTCGGAGATTGACAAGAAAGAGACTGGGAAACGAAATTTGGTAACGCGACGTTGTAGTGGATTGGGTTTGCTGGAATTCGTCACATCGCCCCTCGCCCGACGCCCCCTCACGAGCCGTTCGACGATACAGACACGACCCTATCGCCAAGTTGCCAATACTGTCGCAGGTCGACACCCTAATACATCTACACAAGGGAGGGATATTCAACTCAACATGTCGGGTGATCTCACTTTTGGGGTTCTGGTTCGGAAGCAGTTTACTGCCTCCAAGTTGCTGTTCCACCTCCTCTTCTGGACTTTCCATTGGGGCATTTTCGCCTATGGCTGGTAAGCCTTCCTATATTCTATATATTATACATTGGCCCGTATACTAACCCCTCTTTCAGGTGGAAGCAGGCTATGGACGCGAGACTCGCGGGTCTGAACACTCTGCAGTTCTCCGTCTGGATTTCAAGAGGTGCCGGTTTGGTTCTAAGCGTCGACGCAATGCTCATCCTGCTCCCGGTCTGCCGAACCATCATGCGGTGGATCCGACCCAAGCTCCGCTTCGTGCCCCTCGACGAGAACCTTTGGCTTCACAGACAGCTTGCGTACTCGTTGCTCATGTTCACCATCTTGCACACGTCTGCCCATTACATCAAGTAAGCCAGTCCGCTCATCTAGGACGAGCTCGCAAATGCTAATACGCACAGCTTCTTCAACGTCGAGGTGACCCAGATTCGACCTGTCACGGCCATCCAGATCCACTACACCCAGGCCGGTGGTATCACTGGTCACGTCATGCTGCTGTGCATGCTTCTGATGTACACCACCGCCCACGCCCGCATCCGTCAGCAGTCGTTTGAAACCTTCTGGTACACTCACCACCTCTTCATCCCCTTCTTCTTGGGACTTTACACCCACACCACCGGCTGCTTTGTGCGTGACACTGCCCTCCCGTTCTCTCCGTTCGCCGGAAAGGACTACTGGGACCACTGCATTGGTTACCTCGGCTGGAGATGGGAGCTCTGGACGGGTGCTTTCTACCTCATCGAACGTACCTACCGTGAGGTTCGTGCCCGTCGTCTCACCAAGATCACCCGTGTTGTTCGCCACCCCTACGGTTAGTTTGCAATCTTGAAATTCCTCCCCAATGTGATGCTGACTCATTTACAGATGTCGTTGAGCTTCAGTTCAACAAGCCCTCATTCAAGTACAAGGCCGGCCAGTGGCTCTTCCTTCAGGTTCCCACTGTCTCAAACTACCAGTGGCACCCGTTTACCATCACCTCTTGCCCGTTCGACCCCTACGTCTCTGTCCACGTCCGCCAGGTTGGTGACTTCACCCGGGCTCTTGGTGACGCTGTTGGTGCCGGATCTGCCCAGGCCAAGCTCTACGACGGTGTCGACCCTATGGGCATGTACGAGGTTGCTCTCCAGAATGGTCAACAAATGCCCGATCTCCGCATTGACGGACCCTACGGAGCGCCCGCTGAGGATGTCTTTGAGAACGAAATCGCCGTGCTGATTGGTACTGGTATTGGTGTCACTCCTTGGGCCTCGATCCTCAAGAACATCTGGCATTTGCGCAACAGCCCGAACCCGCCTACCCGCCTCCGTCGTGTCGAGTTCATCTGGGTCTGCAAGGACACGGGTTCTTTTGAATGGTTCCAGACCCTGCTTTCCTCCCTCGAGGAGCAGTCTAACGAGGCTGCCCGCGTCCCTGGCAGCTCCGGTGTCGAGTTCTTAAAGATCCATACATACCTAACCCAGAAACTGGACATGGATACGACACAGAACATTGTGCTCAACTCTGTCGGCGCCGAAGTCGACCCCCTTACCGAGCTCAAGTCTCGCACGAACTTTGGCCGACCCAACTTCTCCAAGCTCTTCAGCACCATGCGGGATGGTATTATCGACAGAACATACCTCAATGGCTTGGAAGGTAGCATGCGCACAACTGTCGGTGTTTACTTCTGCGGTCCTTCCGTTGCTGGTGAGTGCCAAATTGATGACATCGTTCGGAATTTCGCTAACATACATTTGCAGCTCGCGATATCCAGGCTGCTTGCAAGGACGCAACCGTCCGCGAGGTTAACTTCCGTTTCTGGAAGGAACATTTCTAAATGGGGTTATCGCCCTTTTCACGAACAAAAACACCAAAACAAGCATCTTCAGCGACACGGTTGGGTTCTGTACATGTAGGAAGAGATCATGCCTGGAGACGATACCTACAGCTGTCGGAAGCTTCCCAGCTACGGAATGTGGTTGGTGACGCCCAGAGGAAAGCCAGCTGCATAGCGGCAGGCGGGAAGGCGTTGGCTGGAATGCATTAAGACACCCACTCAGCGATGTGCATCATCTTACATCTTTTGCCGCCACTCGCGTCAAAGATCTATTATTTGTTACCTGTTATGGAGGCGTGGGTGGCGGGCGGTCAATGTTCTCTCGCATATATAAGGCCCATATATAACATTTTTTTTCCAACTACAACAAACTGTTCATTTCAAGTCTTCTTTTTCCTTCGTATCACCTTGCGGGAGATGACTGAAGACGTCGGTCCGGTTCAATAGGGTTATGTTACACAACCTTATGTAATATACCTACCATCCAATTGCAAACCGCTCCAAAGTGATGACTTGACCAACTTCCTTGCACCGGATGCGGATTGTCAGCGGCCCGTTATGCTGAATCGGTCTGCCAAGACCTGGGGTTCCATCAAAGCGAATAGGGCATTGCGTCGCAGAGCAGGGGCAATACGGTCGTACGTCTACCGGGGATAGCCATACAGGTAGGGCTTTCGTCAGGGTGCATCCGGCGGGATCCATTTGATGTTGCCACGGTCTCCTTGCCCGTGGCTGCCGTGGCTGCCGTGACGTTGGACCACTTAGTCAGCCTTAAGAACCGCCCTGGTTGTGAAGGGAGTCTCTACCGACTCCGACGACCAGGTGGAGAAGGGGTTTGATGCGGCGGTGGTACGTGCTGATGGTTCATATTTGTGTGGTTCTGATTCTGACCGCTTTCCAAACCGTTGGCGTTTCCAGTCCTCCCAGGGGGACGTGTTCCCGTGGCCCGGTTTGTGCGGGCTCAAGGCGGGAGAGCAGTGAATCGACCGGTGTGGTTCGGTCAGCGTCGACAAGTCATTTCGGGATGAGTCCCTCTTTCTCTCTATATACGTATCTCTCCCCCTGCGTTGCTGGACGGTAGTCATTGGTTTGGCAAGTTTAAGACATCAGCACATGGTCGGGCGGGCGCGCTCGGTCGGCGGTATGATTATACGACGACGAGAGCCCCCCCGGACAAGAAGCCGGGCGAGAGCGTTGGGGGAGGTATAAGTCCTACCCGGGAGATCCGGATTGGAAGTGAGAGAGTAAGTGGAGAGCGAACGTCCTTTGTAGCCGCTGCCCATGGCCGGCAGAAGAAGAGAGTGGCCCCAGTGACGAACGTGAAATTGGGGGAGGGGGGAGGGAGGGGGTGGTAGCTGTAAACTGTAAGACAAAAGATGAGATGAAGGCGGCATCTTTGGAGTCGCTGGTACGATGTGACATCACATCGCCAGCCAAGCTCGGCAAAGGGAAGCGGACAGTTCCGGGGGCGGGGGCGGTGGTTAGCGAGGCGTCGGGTTCGCAACGAAAGTCGGTGCTCTCGAATGGCTTCCGAGGTTTGTCCCGAGAAGGAGATCTTTCAGTGGCTGAGAAGCAGAAACGATGAAGACGTGGCTGCCCGCCGGGCGACGGCGGGTGTCGAAGGTGGGGGGCTGACAATTCTTGAGCTTGTGGTTGAGCAGATTATTGGAAACTCGACGGAGTCAGGTTCCGTGTGTTGACGCGTAAACCTTAAGGGGGTCGGTTTTCCCACTTCCTATTCTTCTATCCTTTTTCTTACAGTGATTGCGTTTTGATTTTGGGATGACTGGGAATACATACTGACCGTGCACTGCTGTGCATGCCCGAAGATAGATTTAGGCTATTTCTACTTGGGGCAGTCAAAAAGAAGGGAAAAGTTCGTCCGAAGAGCATCCCTCCCTCCCCTAAGTAGAAAAAAACGCCTCAATCGTGTGTCGAGTTAGAGTTTGAGGGCTGAGACACCGCCTCGGGTTTTTGAGATGGAACTGGAACGACTTTAGGCTAGTTCGAGGTCTCACCCGTCAGCGAGGTAAGGTGGGGGTTTCTGAAGTGGATGGGCCTCGATCATGCATGCTAGAGATGAAGTCGTGTTCAACTACAGATTGTTGAAAAGAAAAAGAAAAAAAAAAGTAGTAGTGATTGCAATGGAAGTTCAGCTGCGAAGTGGTGACTACCCGGGCGAACTGATATGGCTGGGGTTAAAGCACATGGCGCAGACAACTCTACTCGTCAGGTGTTACTCCTTGAGATAAGCCACGAGCGCCATGCAAGAACGATGCTCACTTTGACAGCATGAGCAATAGCAATTGTTTTGGCCGTCCAGACTACACCCGCGGCACCAAGAACCCCTCCACCAAAGGGCATAGTACGTAGCTGCCACGTATAGCAACTATAGAGGCAGAAGTCCCAGGCCGCCAAATTATTGTTAAGCGCGAGACAGGATTGTTTACGGCCGTGTTACTTTTTGGGGCATCGGCTCGGTAGAATGTCAGCGCAAGAAGTTGGTCAAATTCTCGTCATTCTCCCCCACCAGCTTTCCTCATGGCATTGAACACTCAAGATAATGTAAGGGGCTAACTTTCGACGGCATGGAAGAGTGAAATAGTAAACGACGGTACGGTGCTTTAATCCTTTATAACAGCATCAAGTGCTGAGCACAATCCGCATATCACTCTCCTGCACGTGCTCCCACACCCGTTTTGTCATGCTCTACCTACAGAAGTCGCTCTTCCCGCTACCGCCATCTACACAATTACCGCAATAGACATTCCAGCGGATCCATCCGTTGCTGCCACAGTGGAAGAGGGAATGTCTCTCGTACGGGTCCTCGCGGGGGAGCCCGACTCTCTTGAGCTCGTTGTCGATCTCGCTCATGTATTTGCCTTTTTGGTCCAAAGAGTCAGTGCATAACGCGATAAGCGAGAGAGTGGAAGGGTACCCTTCTTCAATAGGTTGTAGCCGCAGTACTCGAGACCCTCAGTACAGGCCTTGGCCTCTGCAAGGGGGTACAGAATGCTTGTCAGCGCGACAAAAACGGTGATGGGCTTTGTCATGATGGATCTATTGGCAGAAATTGGATTGAAGGCGGGTGGTATGAATGGAGATGCTGGTTAATGAACTGTTTGAATGGAGCTGCTCTGGAGGTTCTGTCCAGTTATCAATGACTTGCAAGGACAGGAGATTCACTCAACTTATAGTTATAGTCTTGCCGGGACGGTCTGATTATACTCAACTCTCTCTGATAGGGTTCAAAAAAATGACAGCCATCAGATGTTGTTGCGTCAATGTCCACCCGGCTGAGTGCTCAATCAGCACACAAACGCCTAATTAGTGAATTTATGCAGCTTACGGATCTGTACTACTGCGGAGTACGAGGAACTCAACAGCCAGCAGTTGGAAGTAACGGCATATGAGACACAAACACAGCCATTGACAATAGCTATCACCTGCATATACTATTGCTATGGTGTGGTGATTGGTGCTTAGGTCAGCATTGTTTACGCACAAGTTACTGTCATAAAGCCAATTAACATCCCATTGCACAGAAGTGTCTAGATTGTTTTCTTCACGTGTTTGCTTGGCAGGTACATAGATACCTGATTTATAGACAACACATCGCGCAACGCTCCGCCGGCACTGCAGGGAAAGAACACGACGAGTGTGCATATTCAATCACCCCCCCCCTCGCCAAGTCAACATTTGTTGTAGTTTTGAGGCCTCCTTCCCGGCAGACGAAGGGGGCTAGAATTCAAAGTCCTGCCACTTCCAGCAATACACCCATACTTTTAGTAATAAGCTGCATTCAGCCGTCAAAACAGTTGCATTTTACCTGCAGTAAGATGACAACTTGCCAGCATATCTACTGCCAGTTGAACTGCATGTCTTGGCGTGTATGACACGGGAGAGCGGAGATGGTTGTAGAGTCTCCGGAAAACGATCACCTCCGTATGATGAGACGGAACGATTCACGTAACATAACAGAAAAGCAGCCAAGTAATATGGCGTAGACTAATTCTTCTCGCACCTTGACAAAAGACCATGCTGGGCTCGCAACTCCGTAAAACCGGCGAATCGGGGTTGAGGGGTTTTGAACAACTGGCTTGCAGCAGTGCTGTAAGCATGCCCACAACCTGTTTGGGAACGACGCCACGCATTCGGTGCGGGGGAATAAACTGATGTTTGATCGTATCAGCTGCGGAAGGATGTATAGTGGACGGGCAGATGTCACGAACCAGGTAGTCCAAATAGACGGCAACTTATGGTAACTAACTCATCGGCACCTCCGGTATACATGCACGAGGTTCTCACTAAGCGCTTGTATGACTGGGCGTCTGGCCAACAGCAGATTGCATTCGGGTCAGCACGCAAGGCGTTTTTGTTGTGCGTTGATGTTTGCCAAGCCCAAAAATTGATCCGCAGTTACTATAGTAAAGCTATACCAGTCCGGCCAGTGTGATGGTTCGTTCTTAACGCTGAAAACGCTATATCGCGTTCCCGGAGGAAGGGGGGTTCCGTTTTCTTTTCCTTTCTTTTGTTTTCTTCAACGTTCTACCACAACCTGCCCCATGGGCGACCGAGAAGACACGGTAAGAAAAGTCTTGTGAATTGTCAGTTCCAAACCCCATATTCGTGTAAGAGCACGGCAACCAATGCATGATTTTATAACCCTACATTTGCAGGATGCAGACAACCTTGTGCGTCCCAGTTGGCCATTGTTGCAGACGAGCCGGGCCCGGGTTTCTTTTGCATGAAGCATTTCAGCTGCGGTCACTTAGCCCCATGCAGCATAAGCCGGAGAACGCCGCACGAGGCCTGCATCGAGAACTGTCCGCGTCAAGCTAATTGGTATACGTAAAGCGCAGCGATTGAAGGCCTGTACGACGGGTTGTTGCCTATCCCGCCAGGTGTCAAACCACTTCGCTTATGGTCTCACAATGAATCTTCTCCAGAGTGATGGGCCTATAATTATAGTCAACTCACCACCAGGACCCTAGGGCTCTAGAATCAGAGTCTTTACAACGTCTCGAGCAACGCCTCGGCTGCATTCAACACCACCTTTTCCTGTCCTGCCAAGCAACAATACACGATGATGTTCCCAACTCCAGCTCAACTTTTTCATCTGCTCATGGGGCTGTTGATGGCGGCTGCTGTCCTTGCTGAGACTGGCGTTACCACCCGATACTGGGACTGCTGCAAGCCGTCGTGTGCCTGGCCCGGCAAGGCGCAGGTTTCGGAACCCGTGCGAACCTGCAACAAGAACGACAAATGGCCCATCCCGCTCAGCCCCAACGCGCAGTCGGCTTGCAATGGCGGCGACGCGTACACGTGTAGCAACAATGGCCCGTGGGCTGTCAACAACAACCTGGCGTACGGCTTTGCGGCAGCCAAACTCGCTGGAAAGTCTGAGCGGGACTGGTGCTGTGCCTGCTACAAGTAAGTCGGACCTGACGTGATCCACCCTTAATGTGGAAGATCAACGCTCAAACAGTGAAAAAATGAGAACCCTGAGGACCGATCGTGGAGGCATTCTCAGTTTGTTCTACGCGGCTGACAAGTCTTCCAACCTAATAGGCTTACCTTTACGTCAACGTCTATTGCCGGCAAGCAGATGATTGTCCAGGTGACCAATACCGGCGGCGACTTGGGGGCCAACCACTTCGACATCGCCATCCCCGGAGGCGGCGTGGGCATGTTCCCCCAGGGATGCCAAGCGCAGTTCAACGGTGCCTGGATGGGCGACACGTACGGCGGTTACCGGAACAGGAACGACTGTAACAACCTTCCCGCGGGCCAGTTTCGCGACGGCTGCTTCTTCCGTTTCGACTGGTTCCAAAACGCCCAGAACCCAACCGTCGAGTTCCAAGAGGTGTCTTGCCCGCAAGCCATGATTGACAGGTCGCAGTGTGGTCGCTGGAGCTCCGCGGTGCTAGTCGACCAGAGCCAAGAGAGGGTTTACCAACAGCCCGGAGAAGAACTGTAGATCGATCTGTCTCCCGGAAGGAGCGCCGGGCTATGAACTCCCTTGGCTCTTAGGGGAGATTGGCGACACGGAACTGAAGATGGCACTATTCTTGTGTAATCAGAAAGTTGTAAGGAGAGCAAAAGGCAGTTTTGAATTTGCTAGGCTTGAACGGGTAGTCATGGGTTTATTGAGGGGAAATTGACAGATGCGTTTCGTTGGATTAGACTATCCACCAGTTTTGGCATTGCCGCTAGTTGCTGACAACTTGAACTAAGATCGACCCTGCGCACCACAGGTTCGGATGTATGTTGCCATCTGATCCATCTCACCCACAGGTGATCAAAGGCAGGAATACCGGGGCGGGCGACCCTTACACCAGAGTTGGCATGCGTGAGTGGCTTCCACCGCCGCGTTGTTGTACTGCAAGAGAAATCCGCAGTGCAATGAGACAGAAACCTGGATTGGTCTCACTCGAGCAACACCGCGATTTCCTACTACTTAGAGTTCAACTTCTGATAAGCAACGCCCCAGGATGATGAATGAGAGTAGAGGCTTGCTCTCCGGCATTTCTTTTCTCGGCGAGGAAATCCACCGCATGGATAGTGCCACTTCGTGTACATGTCGAGTCACACTTGCAAACGCCTGCTCGAACATTGACAGACAACAGGTGCCGAGCTGCCAAAGATTTCGAACCGTTGGTGTGAAGGAACTTCCCCGTGTGTTCCCTGATTTGTCTGCCTTGTAAACCGCGGCATGTGCAACAGCCTCTAGTACTTGTGGCACACGACTTTGAGTCGCTGCGGATGTTGCAACAGCACATGGCCCATAATGAAGCCATGGTTGCAAGTAACCGCTCTCATTAATCATTGAAACCAGTTCACTTAATCAACTATCGGTCTCGCAATGGGTGCTGGAACCACCACTACTCAGCGGGGAGTACAGAACCGTTGATGCTACTATCGTTGTACTTGTTTTCGTCAGTCCCTTGGCGGTCAGAATGTTGCAGATCGAACAAGAATTGCCCATCCCCGTATTCATGCCTTCCGGTAGCGTAATGGGAAGTCAACAATAAGACGTGTTTTCTACGCTCTTATTCTCTTCACTAGTTATGGCTTTGCCTCGAATCCCACCCCCGCCACATTTCGCTTCGCACATGGAACACTCACGGCCGATTCTGTGACCAGTTATAGACACGATAAAAAGTCGGGAGCCCATCACCGTGGCTTTACATAGACGAAAGCTCGCGCTTCGCTGGGAAGAACCTCGATAGGGTCAATCATGACCCTTCCTGGGGATTGATGATTTCTTGCCGGAGGGCGGCGGAAAATTGCCAGGGGTCACCTCGACAGCAAGCTTTCAAAGACCAATCCCGTGCTCACGGAGGGAAGGGGGGCTGGTAAAGCGTTATGCTGTGTCTCGTCGTCATCTTTCGCCGCCAGGGTGGATGTCGAGAAGAATGCTCATAAAACAGACACGGAGCTGGCCAACACCGCGTTGACAGACTGACGACAGAGGCGAGGCCAATTGGGATTCATATGCCCACAAGGCGTTGATTCGTGCGGATACCTTAACTTTTATTCTTTCTCCTCTACAACGAGTGACTTAAAGTCATACCCCTGGAGTGCCACAAAGAGCCTTACTGAGCGAAAGACTGTCAGCAGGCAAGGTGGCAATAGCATTCTATTATGCCCCGGGAGTGGAAAGGGCAAAGCTGATGACTGGTCCAGCCATCGGAGTCCCAGCTTCGGTGCCAGGTTTTCTTTTCGTCACGCGCGGCTTGATTGCTGGAAGACACCGCTTCCTGCTAGAATCCTCCCAAGCCGCGCGATTGTAGCAGGAACTTGGCTGTGGCAGCGCAACACCTGTCGTCATGAAGTGATGCATACAACCTGTTGATATACTCTACTAGCTTTTGGGTATCTCATGGGGGCTTTCCGGGTTCCCAGGTTCCTTGACCTTACCAGCCAGAACTCTACCTAGCACAGACTTGCATATATTACAGTCGCCATCTACGTTTTTGGTAGATCTGTGACTGTTTAGAATCCGACGAGCAACCTGTTTGGAACACTGAGAAGTATTGTTAGTGTCACGCTCCGCGACAAAATATTGATGGCTTTGTTTAGGGTCTTGACAGCGTACACCGTGTGCAATTGTCTATGATCAAAGCGTGGAGAACGTTACTCTTCTACACCAGCACGATCGAGTAATTGAAAACACGCTTAGTGGTTGCCGCAAAAGTGACACGCATTTCTATCTTGCGTGCAATGGGGTCGAGAGGTAGAGACATCGAGTCGCCACAAACATGAGGTCTCGTCCGCCCTGGGTTCTTCAGTGGGAGGCGGTGCAAACAGTTTCCAGCATAACTTTGCGCACAGGACAGGACGGAGAGAACGCCTCTTTTTACCAATATGGCCAATGACGGTTTTGGGTATTATTTACGTCAGCGAGAATAAGAAGCCGGGAGCACAACTCTTCTTCTCAACTCCGTCAGTCAGCTTGCCTAGTCTCGGTCGTAGCCGGGTCACTGTTTGAAGCGTATCCCCGTTATCCGTCTCTCAGGTGATGGATAATCATCGAGTCAAGGCCTTCTCAGTCCTTGACTTGCCGTCACAGGAGCACAACAATAATTTTAAAGAAGGAATGGTTCATGTATATATGTGTGTTCTTCATGTATCTCATAATAAGTGACATTTAAATCGCCGCACCCTAGCTTTTATGTGCAAACTGAAAAGCGCATGCTGGAGCAAAATGTTAATTAACTAAGCTACATAAACTCAAACAACGACCTCATCAGACTCACACACAGCTTTTTACCTAACCGCGGTGACGGAAAATGAGAAAACTGGTTGGAGACAAATTTCACAGGCAACTGACTTGGATATTGCCGAGACCAGGACATGCAGGCCGTCAAGTATCACAAGCCGCCGAAGGGGCTCACCCTTGTGATTGAATGTTGAGAGGGTGGCGTCCGCTCTACGGCAAGCCCAACACAGGTGAAGGAGGCGCTATGTGTTGAGCTTGGAAATAGCTCGGTCATGTGAGTTTGAGCCGCAAACCTACCCGCCAGTAGAGCAATTACCCTTCACCGACCCTGTGACACTATGATCTCCGCATCTACCAATGCCGACAAGTAGTTGTCGAAGAAACCCCCATCCGGTTTGCAGTGACTGCCGAGGTTTTGACTTACCTTTAAGAAGCGAGATACCCCGCAAGAGGCGTGTCGGGTGATTGAAGCCTCTGAGCTGGTCCATCGTGTTGTCTAGACACCGGGCACCGACCGACCCAGAGGCCGTTTGCGTCCGCGTTGCCGCTCACTGTCACATCTCGCTGAAGCGGCATCGGTCGGCGGGACGTTCCGGACCCAGTCCTAAAACAGCAAAGTGCCATATCAGTGCTGGCCAATCCAGTTGACCCCACTGGCTGCTGTGTGGAGCCATCACCTCCTATCACGCCGTTCCTTCACCGTGCGGAATTTGAGACCGTCCCTCCTCTTTTGGAACCTCAGAGTTTGAAATTGGGCAGTCATATGACGATCCAGCCAGTGAGAGTCGTTGTCGTGTTGCCGGCCGCATTGCCAGTGGCCGGAGGAATGCAGACCGAGATGTGACGAGCCCGGAAGGGTGGGGTTCCTTGGGCTCACCGGGACCCGACAGGGAGAGATGTGACATCCGGTGTCCGTTCCCGCCACCCTCTTTTTCTCCCACCCCTTCAGGCGCCGCCAATAGAAGTGGTTCGGTCAGATGTGAGTATCATATACCGACTTCATTGCGGTTGGATGCTCCTCGTTTGATGGGACAGGATGGCGAAACCGAAAGCCTGGAGCGACAGAAGACGTATACCGATGAGACGCTCAGCAGTTGATTTTGCTGTTGTTCTGCCTCCACACAGCCTGCAGGCTGACAAAAACAGCCGGCGCGATAGCTATCTGAAGCGCAAATCCCACCAGTGTGTGCGTGACGTGCATATGCCGCTAATTATGGACACACATTGACGGTGCCAGGTCGCCAACTCGGCAAGAGAATCTAGAGGAATAAAGACCTAAGATTTCGTTGGAGTGGGGATGCTCTTGATGTTGGACCTTTGACGAAGGAATTGACTGAAGTTGCGTCGTTGTTTGGCACGCCTATGAAGGAGACATAGTCACTATGCAACTCAAGGCAGGTAATTCGTCAGTCGGCACCAGATTATGATAACGCCAGCTCAGCCCAAGTCCAAGTCCCCAACCCGGACCCGATGTACATGCCAGTTTTTGATACGTGACCTTTGTCACAAGCATGCCAGACGTGGGAAAGCATGTTCGGTCTTGGGGCGGTTGCATTGCATGGCCACAAAAGGAGAAACCCATGACAAGGCATGCAGCAAAATGTTGCGAGCTTCATCTTGTTCGAGGGGAAGCGCAGATGCAGCGGGATTGGGAGCGGATGATGATTCGTGGTTCTGGCCAAAATAAAGAAAGACTGGGTTTGCTAGTGTGGGGGTGAGCGGAGACCTATCGGAAAGAGAGTTGCGGTGAGGCTGGCGGTATATCCCGGTGAGGGCACTGGCGTCATTGGCCAAAAGAGAGACAGAGAGAGAATCGGAAAGAGAGGGCGGTGGGCGGTCGCAGCAATTTGCTAATTGCATCGTGGGGCGGCAGGGAAATGGTGGTTGTGATCGGCCTGAAGCAGCCAGCCTACCATGAGGGCGGATACCGAAGGTGAACGGGCGAGGATTGGGACGCGAGATAGGGAAAGACGTGGGTGCCCAGCTCCGTGTGAAGGGTGACTTGAAGCGCGACTATGCACCAACTAACTTGGCTTAATGAGTCGTTGCGACATGAGGTTGATCTCCGAGTTGATGCTCGGGTCTTTGGCCTTCGGGCGTGGAGCCAGTTATGCTCGTTTCGGTGAATTAGGCCGTTGATGTCTAACTTGGAAATACGGTTAACTGTAAGATGCATCTTATAATTGGCTCTCGACTCTGGGGATCGAGGTATTCCGAACGTTTCATTGGAACTCGAGAATTGACAGGCAGTTGTCAGGGTCGCAGCCCGAAGGTGGGAGAGCGGCGACTCAGCTACCTCATCTCGTTACTCGGTGAACGGAAGGGCAAGGAGGTGGCGGGCAGGACGAGGCCATAGGATGAGGAGGTGCGGCGCAGTGCAGCGCAAAGCGAAGGGGACAGGGTCCACGTGGTGCGCATGACATGTCTTTCTTTGCCAGGGCCATCGCTGGCATGAGGTCGTCGTCGGAGGCGCTCCCATCGTCTGCTGCCTCGTCGCAAATTGCCTTGCCCAAAGGAATCTGGTGAACTGATCCTTCGATCCGGTCGGGCAGACAAGACACAGACACTTAGTTGTAAGCGGCACTCGTTGACGGGTTAAGGCAAAGTGACATGACGAGACTTTACGAGTGTGACATGATTTGACATGACGTGACAGGACGCGATGAGATGCCCGGCCCAAGAGGTCGAGTTTCTGATTCGCACCAGTGGCCATCCGGTTCCCGCTTTTGTCCGTGGTGAAGCCGCACACGTGCCAAGTGGACGGGATATGGCTGAAATGCCCCTCAGCCGAGAGACATGGAGACCAGACCTTCACACCATCTCTGGTCGGTGAGCGTTCCTAGTGGGCTGTTGAAGATCATCGGCCGGGCCGTAGGCTTCACCTGGCGGGCTGGGCCTTCTTGACCACGCTGGCGGTTGCTTGGGTGGGTAGAGAGGGACTGATGCATCCTGCGAGACTGCCTGACGGCCTGTCGAATCCCCTCCTTTTGGCGATGATATCCGTATGTGCGTGAGCGAGTGTCAGTGTGTCCTAGACGAGGCCAGATACTCATCCGTCTATCCCCGATCTCATGCAGCTCGCTCTGTATCGTAGCAGAGGGCGGGTGCTGTAGGTTTTGGGGCTGGCTTGGCTTGCTCGGTTTGGTTTGGAGACGGCCGTTGCAGTGTTGGCCCGAACGCCGAACGGGGGCGGACGCCTCCATAATTTTCCCTTGATTCAAGCAAGCATCTCGTCTAGATCTCAAAGTGGATCGCGGGGAGGGTGGGAGGCGCTTTGGAGGAGAGGGGATACATCAAGGACAGCGAGGAAGTAGGAACAAATTAAGAAGGCGCAGAGCAAAGAGCTAGGAGCTAGGTAGTTGGGAGCTAGGTGCAAGGAGCTAGGTGCAAGGAGCTAGGAGTAGCGGTTGGGCGGCAAGAAGAGCCGTCGTGCTTTCCCCCTCCCTCCTGCTCTCTTTCCCTTTTCTTCACCTACCAGCCTCAGACTGCGACTGGGAGGAAGCTGCTTTCACCGTCGGAGCAAGTCACTCCCCTGCCAAAAAGATATAATGATGTACCTTGAAAATGGAACCGTCATGGGGGGAAGGTCTCTCTGGCCCCGCCATTCCACACTCACCACTCACCACTCACTCGCGCACTCATTCACTCAGTAATTATCGCACTTAACCCACCTTCATTCAGCTTTGTCCCACATTCGCTGCCCCTCGCCTACCCACATTTTGCAGAATATGGTGCGTGCGTGCGGTCGAGTGTGGGCATATGGAGGAAGGACAGGAAGGTCATCAGCCCCTGGACCCCTTCCTGTTGAGTCTTGACATGACATGACATGCTAGTGGTCCGTCCCCCCCCCATGCCCTCCTAGGCCAAGGTGCTGTTTTCCCCTCCTTCCCTGTCAAGGGTTAGAAAAATAAAATAAATCGGTGCCGGGTCAAGCGCTCCGCAAAGCCTGAGTATTCGTAGCAAGGTGTTCATTGTGCGAGTATCCGTACCTCGCCCAGATGCAGCGCATGTCATGGTTCACCATGGTCCGGGGGGCACGCCACGTAAACGGGAGGAGGAAAGCCACAGTGCAATGGCAGATCAGCAAGAGCTCTGCAGAGCAAGTGCGGGTGCGGCTTCCTTTCCGAGGTGCAGTGTGCAGCTGGAGTGTCAAAGCTGACTTCATGTTTTGGGGGTTTGGGCATGCGCACATGAGCAATGTATTCTATTGGCAGTTGCCATGTTGTTGAGCCGTTGTCGTGGGTGGGTATGAACACAGGCCAACAACAGAAACGGATGATTAGGTAGAATATTTCGTAAGGCCGGCCGATTCGGCTGTGTCGCCCGTCCACTTCCTCTACCCGACGACTTTCCCCCTCGTGGTTGTATCGGGTGTCCTGCCAGGCCTCCAACTTTTTTTTTCCTTTTTCTTTCTTTCTTCTTCTTCTTCTTCTTCTCTCCAAGCGTCGTTCCATCAGTCTGTTTGCGAGATCGCGCCCATCTTGCATCGAGTCTTTACGGGGAAGGTGTGGGAAGTACACTAAAGGTAGGAAACCCTTGTGTACCTAAAGAAGAAAACAAGATACTATATAAACTGACACAAGGTCAAGGGAGGTAAAGTGAGCCACTAATATCCACGACCCTCGTCCACCACCGACATAACTGGATTACACAGTGACCTAAAAGTCAGTTTCAGTTACTGTACGGCGATTCCTGTTCAGCCCTTGGCAAACATTGGCAATAAGCAACCAGCAGCTGTATCTTGGCCCCGGATAGGAAATCGGGATATTAAAAAAATACAAACGTCCCATCAGCACAGAAAACATCAGACCAAAATCCCAGGCTCGGATCCAAAGCCCAGACTAGTTTACCTAGGTAGACCCTCCCTACGAAAGTCACAACCCTCACTCAGATCACCCACTCACTCAGCACCGAAACCCAAGCCATCCCACTCTCTCGACCCGAAACCCACAACATCCACGATCCCTGTCACTGAGTGGTTCTCACCTCTTTTTCGACACAGAAGTGGCCCTGATCTGGTCACACATTCATCCGTCTCTTTTATCAAGCCCCAGTTTTTGACATATGCTACGATCAGAAAGAGAGAGAAAAGCTAGGTATATCGATCATCTTGACTAGCAATCACCGGCTATTCATCGTGCCACCACCTTCCCGTCTTGTTCATACTGCGTTCCTGGACTGAGAGAATACACACACACACACACACACACACATACACCTATACACCTCCTACACATAGACATTTCCTAACCCTCGTCCTCTTTTCCTTCTTCCCTCCCCGTCAATCTGAGTGTGACATCCCGGGCCGGCGGCCTAGACTGATCGGTACTTTGCCAGAAGTACCTCCCGTCCTCACTTTGCATGTTCCTCGTCTATCGTACTCGCACACGCCCGCAAATACACACACACCCACCCCCCATCGAAACCATATGTTTTGAAAAGTACCTGTACCACCAGGGTCAGTCACCACCATCACCACCACAATCAATTACCTCCATCGCCGCTCACCCGACCTTATTTGGGTACGTACAACCACCACCCTTTTGCCGTACACTAGGTAGGTACCTAGGTATATGCAGAGGTGCTATACCTACCAGGGGGGACTGGCCCGTGCTTTCTTCCCTCTTTTCCTCTCTGGTGCTCTGTGCACGTACCCTTAAGTCTTGACCGACCGACCGACCTTATTTTTTTTTTATTCGTGCACCTTCGGCCTCGGCCTTCATCCTCCCATCTTCACACACCTCGAGTTGGGACGTTGAATTGGAAACTAAATGCCACTTCTTTTATTCTTTTTTTTTATTTTTACTTTTAGTGGTTCTCGACCCGTCCGTCCTTGCGGTGTTTCTACCCGGTTCCCGGGTCTCAATTGCTCTCCCCAGCCCTCGGCGCATTCTTCTGTCTGGCTGCTCCCCGCAGAAAGGGCCCGTTTCTTTTACCCCTCACTTTTCTCTGCTCGCACGCTGCTCGCGTCGGTGAATCTCGGTGGGGCTCTGCTCACACAATCTGCTCCGACTTCAGAGAAAACGCGCGACAGCCACTCGGAGCAAAAAGTGAAGAGCGAGGAAGAGGAAAAGGCACAGGGCTCTTTTGCTCACCACACACACTCTTCTCGGCATCATACCTTTTTTCTTGTTTGCCACACACACATATAACGCTTTTACATCGAGGATGGGTCAAGGGTAGTTGCTGCTGTGATAAAGGGATTTAGACAACATATTTGCAAGCATGCATCCGGCTCCGAGCCTGCTGGAGGCACCTCCGAAAAACGGCAGTGAGGAGTCTGGCAACAGGCCCCAAACCGGCTCGCCCTCCATGTCGCAACCTGAATTGCCCCAGTCTCAGCACTCTCCAGTCCAACAGCATGTGCAACCGTCGCTTCAACAGCAGCCACAAGAGCAGCAGCAGCAGCAGCAGGTTGCTCCTCAACAGCGTCAGTCTTCGCAGCAACCTCCTCCCACTCCCGGCCAGTCGGCTTCTCCTCCTCTGAGAAAGGACACCAATTCGTCCATCTCAACTCAGGCCACTGCGGCCTCCGCAGCCACCAATATGTCCGCGGACACAAGCAACACATCGTACAGTGCCGACACCTCTCCTAACCTAACATCCATATTCCATGTCAAGGATGGCTCCGACGTCTCTAACCGGGTCCGCGCGAGCAGGAGGCGAACCGGCCCTTTGTCCCAGCAACAGAGAGAGAAAGCCGCGCTTATCAGGAAGCTCGGCGCCTGCAACGACTGCCGTCGTAGGAGAGTTGCAGTATGTTGCCTTGATCTCCAACCCAGCTGTGTCTCCAAAAGTGCTCACCCCTGCTGACTGTTCTGCCCTCGTCAAGTGCCATCCCAGCCATCACAACATGACATGGGAGGATGCTGTTAGGAAATATCACAGGTCTCATAGCCCAACGATCCAGGACATCGCCCCGTCCATGTCCGCGCAGCGTCCTCTCAGTCCTGCTCCCGTCATGAACAACGTGAAGTCGATGTACGCGCAGGACCCTCAGGAGATGGATATAGACTCTCCAACGCCCCCAGGACAGCACCGACTAAGCGAATCCCGCATTCGTACACCACTCCCGACCGGCCCCAGGCTCGACAAGCCGCCAATGTTGCCGGGTATCGAGAGCCTCAAGTCGGATCTGCAGACAAACGTTTCGAGGATCCTTTCTACGCCCAGCCGCAGCCGCTACTCCAGCGCACAGGCTCTACTGCTGTACTGGCAAGACGACCCTGACTTTACTGTGGGAAGTTCCGTCAAGGATCTGGGAGAGGTTTTTGACCAGTATTACCGGTATACGTTTTCCATCACCACGATCCCGTCTGCATCGGAGGCCTGCAAGAGCCCTTGGAGATGGCTTTCGCGGAAGATCACCGACTTCGTGGAGGACCGCGATCAACGGGATGTCTTGAAGATTGTCTACTACAATGGCCACTCCTACCTGGACGGGAACCGGGAGATGGTACTTGCCAGGTGAGTTGCGTGCTGCGGGATTGTTAGGCGCCTGCAAACTGACCTTACCCCAGCTCCAAGGATAAGGACAAGGCCGAAACGATCCGGTGGAGCGGCATCCAACAGGTGTTGGAGGAGGCTTGCTCGGATACTCTAATCGTCATGGACGCCGCCTTCTTCCCGTCTTCGAAGATGCACCGCCAGCAGGGTGTTTTGGAACTAGTTGCCGCAGCCGTTTCCGAGGAACACTTTGATGCCCTGGACCGCTGCACCTTCACAAAGGTGCTCACCGAACACCTCAAGACGCGCGCCTCCCAACGCTTCACGAGCCCCTTCTCCGCGGCAGAGCTCCACTCGAAGCTGCTGTCCAACTACCCATCCCTCGTCCAAGACAGGAATCCCGAAAGGGAAACTATCACAAGCTTTCCCTCGCCGCTCCATATGCAGATGTCCGGAAACGCTCGACTACCCTCGATCCTCCTTGCCCCACTAAACATCGGCCCCTTGAGGACGAGCTTGCCGTTCAGTACCGAGGGCCAGCAGCTCGTCCTGTCTTTCCGCATAGGCGACGAACCCATGGACATAGATAACTGGACCGAGTGGTTGAGGATGATGCCAGAGGGAATCAAGGATGTGAGAGTCGACGGTCCTTTCCGGCCGTCCAGATAGCCCTTTCGCCGGCTTTAATGAGTCGCCGTTTTATACGTTTTATTAAATCTCCCGGGTTCTTTGTACGGAAGTATTTTCCGAAAAGGGGCATCTCAAGGGGAAACGAGGCAGCGAGTGACGACGGGCAATGAGTATGCCGCCACCGAGATTGCAGGTACTACTTACTTCTGCTCTCTCTCTCTCTCTCCTCGTCTCCCCGCCTCCGCATACAGCCCAAACACCTCTTCTTTACCCAGCCCGTCAAAGGGCCGACTTTTCATGCGTTAACGATTTATTTTTTTCACGACACAACTGCATCATTCATCCCTCTCGTCAGGCTTGGGGGAGGGCGAAAGGTCGGACGGAGTTGGAGAGTCAAAATTCACAGATCCGTACAGAGTCCATACCCAACAAACACAACTGGCATTCTCCTCCGTTTATATTTCATTTTACTGACGATTTTTCTGGGGAACATTGAGAAAGTTTCAACTCTGATATGGGGGGTGGTCTTTTTTTTTTCCAGCGCGGAACTCATGGAAAGGGAGGCCTCATGGGGCAATGCATGCATCGCAGGCGGAAGAGTCAATGCGGATGCCATTTGGTCAATTTTTGAAGAGAATTCTTTGCATAAGTGGATATCCCAAGCTCGCTTTTTTCGACAGACTACCTCTGGAGAAGCCCTCTCCTCCACACTTCCCTCTTTCTTTCTCTCTCTCTCTCTCTCTTCTCACACGCCCTACCATGAAGTATAGTGTCATCCGAATGCTAACCCACTCCTATTCCAGTGTCCAGTTTCCTATTTCCTATTCCCAAGGAGTGACAATGCAAAACCACCATGAAATCCGATTGAAGAGAGCCGTCTCTGGGCCATGTCCGCGGTATACATACAAGAGGCCGTTAAATAAATTAAGAAGAACCACCCCCTCTCCCTTTGCGCATTTGGTTATTTCTCCGTACCTGCTTTCACAGGCCTCAGAAAGCAAGAGCCACCGCCGCCGCCGCCGCGCCCATGATGCCCGCGACCGGGCTGACGCCCGCCCTCGCTGCGGGGCTGTTGGACTCGATTTTGCCGATGGCGAAGGCGGGTTCGTACTCGCCGACGTCGCGCGTGTCGAGCGTGCCGTTCCAGCAGTACCGCTGGAAGCAGGTGGTGCACGCTGCGGGCACGGGCTGACGGTTGCGGACCATGTTGCGCGAGAGGATGGCGCAGGCGACGCAGACGGGCCATTCGGCGTCGAGGGTGGCGTTGCCCTGGGTGGCCGCGTCGTAGCCGTTCTGGATGATGGCGTCGCGCTGGTCGAGGTCGTAACTAGGGTCGAAGGTGGACACGTTGGAGTGGGCGACGTAGGGCGCGTTGGGAATGTAGACAACGAGGGGCGGCGCGCGCTGGCCGCTGCGGAGGGTGAAGTTGGAGGCGTCGCAGCCGAAGAAGGCTGGGCGGCGGTTAAGGCCGAGGTTGATGAAGGTGTTGGCGTCGGGTACGGGCGGGAAAAGGGTGCCGTTGGCGATAGGCTGGGCGACGCGGTCGTAGGTGGCGCGGAGGGCGGTGCCGTTGGGCCAGTTAAAGTTCGTGTCGGCCGAGGAGTCGACGGCGAAGATAACGTCAACGGCGCGGTTAGGCTGGATCAGCGGGTGGAGGGGGATGTTCTGGAGGTCCTCGCCGCCGTCGACGAGGGTAAGCTGGGACTGGTTGGCGTTGACGTTGGTGCGCGGGTTCCAGCCGAAGAACGGGTTCGGCACGTACTGCGCGATGTCGTTGTTGTCCTCGTCAAGAAGGTTGAGGATGCTCGTTAGGGCGCTCTGGATAAAGTCGGGGAGGCCGGTCGTGGAGATGTTCTGGAGCAGGAACTGGTTGAAGAGGCTGGACGAGGTGCCCATGACAAAGCCGGCCTGGTCGAAGCCGCGGACGCAGGAGCCGTTGTCGGCGATACGGCCGGCGGAGAAGTTGGAAGCGAGGTAGGCGAGGGGCGCGAAGCCGAAGGCCGTGTTGTCCCAGGTGCCGAGCTCAAAGGGGTTAAATTCGTAAACGGTGGCGTTGAGCGAGATAATGCGCTCGCCAGGGGCGCGGCCATCTGTAACTAGGATAGGGAACGGCTGGGCGCCGGCCTGGAAGTCGGGCGACTCAGCGATAGAAGAGAAGGTGTAGGCAGGGCCGCCGTCAGTAGCATTGATGAGCTGGTACGAGAGGGCGCGGCCCCAGTAGTCCGTAATGGACACCTCGAAGCCCTGATCCTTAGAGTCCACCTGGCGGGAAATGTCCCTCCAGTACTCGGCCGTGTTGACGATGGAGATGCCGCGGTCCCGGGGGCCAGAGAAGATAGAACGGTCGAATTTCCAGACGGCGGAGCCCGGGGAGCCACGCTGCAAGTCAACCACAGAGGAGAAGTTGTTCGAGAAGATGGAGCCGACTAGCCAGCCGCCGCCGGAGAGACCAGCGAGGTAGGTGGCGGACTGGAGGAGGCCGCCGATGCCGCCGGCGGACGTCGAGCCGGGCGTACGACTGTCCGCGGCCGCCAGGAAGCCGGCGCCGTTCATAAGGGCGCGGTACCCACCTCCCGATACCGCGATAGCGACGTTAGGCAGCTGGGACGGCGAGGAGCTGAGGCGATCAATGTAGGCGCCAGCATCGAAGTTAGGGATGCCGGCGCGGGTGAGGAGGTCGCGCATGGGTTCGACAGTGGCGCTGCGCCGGCGGGTCAGCCATGCCGTCTCGTTGGGCGACAAGGACGATGCCGAGCGGATTGTGGGACGGGCCGCCGGGCAGTCGACAATTGCCGGGGCGTAGCCTCCCGAGGGGGAATTGGGGAGGGCGCGGGGGTCCAGAGCCTCCATGATGATGCCGGCCGCCATTGGCTTCACGGCATCGGCTGCCCACACCGGGGCGACGGCGGCAGCTACTGCCAGCAGGGATGGGAGCAACATGGTGCGTGTCAAGCTACCCTTTTTGGGACTTAGTCCAGAACGATGGGGGGAAAGGGGAAAGAAAAAAGTCGGAGGGGTATGTTGTGAGGATGGGAGCAGAAATGTAAATCAGAGTGCTCAGTAGGGGGTGGGGGGAGATTGGGTGTGGAAGATATATGGATAACCCTGAGCCCTCGACTGAATGAAGGAATGGACGGCAGTGGCGGCAAAGAAGAGCGACGAAGGATGTCACTAATAACAATAGACTCGAGCGATCTGACTACCCTGCGAGCATTGCCCAGCGGCTGTACGGCGACTCTGCTCGACTCAAGTCAGCTTAATGGGGGCTAGGAGTCCTCGGGACCCGTGGCGCTGAGAACAAAAAAAGGTTTCCACGCTGGTGTCCGGCTGGGTTATGACGTCTAATATGAGAAACTGACGGTACGTTTGCGAACGCTGCCTCTTTCCCATCAAGGACGTCGGAGCCTTTGCTCTTCCCGCCGCAAAGCCCCCTTGCAGGCCGATGCGATTCGACGGACGACGGGGTCTTAGTGTAGTAGTAGTGTCGCGTGGCCGGGTGGGTGGGTGGATAATTGGTGTGAGTTGTCAATTGACTGGGGGTAAGGATGAGATGAGTTTGTGATTGAGTGAGTGCTTTCCGTCGTGACCTGCGTGAGCGAATGAAGGACAATCGGGGGTTTGGAGCTTAGTAGATGCGCCATCCAGCGAGGGAGGTGGCAGAGTGTATTCTCGTAAGACCTACGGCCAACCCCCCGACAGCATGCCCTACAGGGCAGATCAGCGGAGACTGGTGGTGGGATCAGTTCGGGGTCTGAAGAGGGGGGTGGATGATGTTTGATCTCTTACTCTGTGGACGGTGAGAGTATTGAAAGTGGTTGGCGAATGAGAGGGAGATGAAGGCTCATACAGCCCAGGCTGGGCGTTTCTGAGTGTCTGGGCAGCTAGGCAGACGGGCGAAGGGTTGAGATGGGGACGCGGAAATTGTGGCTTTGGGACGAATGGGAGCGTCCGGATCGCCCGGCTGGGCTAGTGATGATGTGAGGTCGGGGTCCCATCAAGGGGTCCTAGTATACGCGTGTACACGCTTGTGCCGACCACTACAGGAATGGATTGCTGCCTTTTTTTTTTTTTTTTTTTGGTAGAAGGCGCGGTCAGAAAGCCACGCCAAGGCCTAAGCCGTAAGTTGGAATAGGTTCGCGAACACCAAGTACGAATGTGAAAGGCGAGACGGCGAAACTAAGGTCGTCTGGTGGAATGAGTTGGAACTTGTCCGGTTGAGGCAAGGAGACAATAACAATAATAACCCTGTGAAAAACTGGAACCAGAGGGGGGGAGGGGAAATAGAGAGAAAGAGAGTGTAAGAGAAACACCGCGGAGGAGAGCGTGGAGGTCAAGCGCCGCACTGCCGGGGCAGCCGGTTACGCTCTCGGGTGAGCCGTTTTGTGAGACGGAGGGGGGACCTTTCGTCTTCTGTGCTGTCTCAGCTCGTCTGTCTTATGCCTGTGCTTGTGCTAATACTACGTCTGTGCATGTGCTTGTGCTTGAGCTGCTGTCACTCTATCGTTCCCTTGCCATTGTATGTCTTGATCTAACTAGTGACGATGTGTGGCAGTGACACGCTGACTATAGCAGGCAGATATTAGCCTGCGGTACTCTCCGTAATGCAACATGGAATTTCCTGCACAGCACTCTGTAGCTGGACATGCTCGGCTTGATATATAACCGCCAGTGCCAAGAATGGTGCCTGGGACCGATCGGCGGCAACCGAACTAATAATACCTTGGTACCTAATAGGACGACCTGCTCGTGGTGTGGATTGCGCCACGCTCAACGCCACACAGCCAGAGCCACACATGAAGGCACGTTGGCGTGATAGGTGAAGAAACAACTCCTCGACTTCTTAGTCATGGCGTCTAGGCCCCCATCGCAGCCCTCACAGGCATGCTTCTCGCCGAGGAGTATCCTATACCAAAATGAGGACCGCTCCGTAGTCCTCGTCGATATCCCCGCATCTCTGGAGGAAAGCCAGTTCCCGCTGGATCGCTGTGCTGATACAACGGGACCCCAAAGACGGCTCCTCTCAGCCGACCCCATCACCACGCCCTTTTGTGTGCCGGAACCCCGGGACCCCCCAACCAACAACCAGACGCCGGCGAGTCAACTCGCAGACCTAATGATCGAGGCGGCCGTGGGGAGCGCTCTTGACACGCTAGGGAAAGGCTACAGCGCGCCGTTCTCCCTCCCCCGTGTGACCGGTGGCGGCGGGAGAAGCAGCGCTACCAGCGGCAGCGAGTGCAGCAAGAAGAGCCTGCAGGATCATTCCGCATGCCAAGATACCGGGCAGGACACGTCTGCGGCTGCGGCAACGGCAGCGGCGCACTTTATTCCTGAAGAGTCTACCCACCTGAATGGCTCGATCCAAGAGACTAGAGAGGCGTTCCTCTCGACCGCGCCCAGGTTTGATCTTATCGTCCTGGACCCCCCTTGGCCGAACAAGTCCGCGAGGAGGAAGACTGGCGGCTACTCCACCGTCTACGGTCTCAAGGAGACCCGGGCGCTTCTGGACCAAATCCCCGTTGCCGGCCACCTCGCCGAGGGCGGCCTCGTTGCTATCTGGGTAACTAACAAAGCCACTCTGGTAGACCTGCTCATCTCGCCCAGGGGCATTCTCGCTAGCTGGGGCCTCGAGGTCGCCGCCGAATGGGTCTGGGTCAAGATCACCACCCAGGGAGAGCCCGTGTTCGACCCCGGCTCCATCTGGAGGAAGCCGTGGGAGAGGCTCATCGTAGCCAGGAGAAGAGGGGACAACCGCAGGGTGCCGCAGAGGGTGATCGCCGCGGTGCCCGACGTGCACTCTCGGAAACCAAACCTTCGTTACTTGTTCCAAGACCAGCTGCCCCGGGGGTACCTGGGCCTCGAGGTATTCGCGCGCAACCTGACGGCGGGATGGTGGGGATGGGGCAACGAGGTGCTCCGTTTTCAAGAGTCCCGACATTGGATCGTGTGTCCGAAGCCAGAGCAGCGGGCTGAGCCGGAGAAAAGCGAGCTTGGCAATACCAATACCAATTGACATGTCTATATCTCATGCCAACCTTTCGTGTGTTGTACAAAACATGCTACCTGCATGTTAACAAAGCTTTCTCCTGGATTTTGTACACGTAACAACCCCCCCATCATCCGTTTGCCCCCCTTTTATGCCCTCCCCCAGTAACCTCGCTCTGCCTCATGATGAGTTTCTCTTCCCCTTGGATGCCTTGACAATCTGGTCCCACTTGCTGTCCAACTGGACGTCATTCTTGAAGTCCTTCCTGCCTTCCATCAGCAAGGTCGCCTCGCGGCGCAGCTTCTTGCGCTCGGCGCTCTCTTTTTCCTTGCTTGGGTACGGCAGCTTGCCGAGCTGCCGGTTAACGTCCTCGCGGGCCTGCTTCTGCGACGTCGCCTCGCGCGCGTCCCACAGCTTCTTGTTCCACGGCTCGAGGTCCCCGGGCGGGCTGGGCCACACAAAGGCCTTGGTCATCTGCACCGTCATGAACTTTTGGCTCTGCGGGCGGAAGTAGCCGGCCGAGGCGCCCTTGCGCTCGATGGGCGACTGCTTCACCCACGACCGCACCGCCGTCACCTCCACGCCGTACAGGTTCCAGAGGTAGTCGCGCAGGTCGAACTTTGTGAAGGTCAGGGGCACGTTGAATGTCGCCCAGTTCGGCGGCGCGCGGTCTTTGCGGATGAGGGTGACGACATGGCTCGGCCTAGGAGGGAAGAGAGGTCAGCGTTTTCTGGCCGTCTGGAGATGCGTGGCAGGGCGCGATGGGCAGAGTTTTTCTTCCTCTCGGATCGGGGTCGAGGCGTAACGTACAGGAAGACTTGCTTCGTTCCGAGCTTGAAGTTGGGCGCTTGGCGGGCTACCGCCTTTGTCAATGCTTCCGCCATCTTGTCGTCTGTGGTCTGCTGCGCTGGATCGAGGAGCTGCTGCTGCGACTCGCGAGAAATCCAAAAAGTTCCCCAAAGGTCCAGACCACCGATTGCAGGTTGCTGATTGGTCCATTCGGGCTCACGTATTTCCGCGCACTACGCTGCGTGAGTGGAGACCGGGGCCGCGTACTCGGTAGCCCGGGTGCCGAAAGTCAAATCTCCGCACGATTTGCCCGGCTCTGGAACAGATACAGCGGCATTACAGTATAGTGCCCGGGAGAGATGCCCTGGCTTGCGGTCCGAAGGACCGCGGGATGCTGTTCCTGATGTTTAATGTCGCTCGAGTTTTGATGAATCCCCGTACAAGAATCAATCGGGTGAGTACATGCACCAGAACAGAAGGTGGATCATGAGTCAGTACCCGCCGTCCTGCCTACTGTCCAAGCTGGGTCCAACTGGGACACTTCCATTGTCACTAACGTAACTCGGATGTTCATGGAGGACACGTCGTTGATTGCCGAGAGGACGACAACGATGGGCAAATATTTCAATGTTGATACATTGTACATTCATCTGGAGACAAGGGTGTTGGCTGAGACATGGCTTCGCGGAACGCTCGCTTGTCCAATGTTTTCACCAAATTCACCAGCAGACCGACCAAATACGGAAACGAAAGCGCTGATCAAGGGATTGCCTTGCCCGTCAAGCTTGAACCCCAGAGTCCAAGACCGGACGGGCTTGGTTATGTAAGGCCTCCCACCGACCCAAGCAGAGCTAAATCTCCACTGGTTTATGAGGGGATTGGAGGCTAGGGCATTTTAGGTTCGAGGAAATTTTTGATTGTAGCTAAAAGGCCTATACTGCGTACACAACCGCTTTCGTACGATCTTGAGAACATGTCTAACACGCGTGAGACATGGGACTCGGTTGGCATTGGTCCAGCTTCATGTCATTGGGTGCAGAAAAGGTCTTTAGATAGTTTGGATTGCGACTAATAAACACATCAATGCTAGCAACTTGAAGATGCCAATATCCCGTACACATCTGGAAGGCTTTTCCCGTCCTTCTTACAGATCCTCATGAAACATTATGGACTTTTACCATCCATCCGTCATGGCTAAATGACGTCTTGCTCAGACGTCCAGGCCGTCAACGACAATGCCCTTGCTCCAGGTCCAGTTCATCTTGCGAGCGACCTCCTCGGCCGACGCATCATCGACAAGAGCGCTGATGAGATACAAAGCTGCATCCACACCAGCGCTGACTCCAGACGCCGTGATGACACGGAGGCCACCGAGCCGCATCGCGGCGCGACGAGTAATGGACTCGCGGCGGCCGGAGCTCTTGAAGGACATGCTGCCCTTTCTGTTTGCTGGTGTTAGCCTCGACAGCAACCATGGCGTGGAGATGAATGCTTGAATTACGTACCTGGCATTGGAAGGTCTGCGGCCAGAGTCAGACTTGCGACGAACATATGGGTTCTCGTCCTCGTCTCCGAGGTCGAAGCGCAGATTGTTGACGACGTATCGGGCATCGTCTATCACGTCGGTTCGCTCCGTAAGGTTACGGGTAGCGGCCTCACTGCAAAGGATCTCGAACTTGGTAATGTAGTCCGAGTGGGTAGTAGCCGACAGGCCGGCGAGGACTCCTTGCTTGGCAAGGAAGAGAGCACCCGTGCAGACGGAGAGAAGGGTGCGCTCGTGGGTGGGGTCATTCTGCTGCAGCTCGGAGAAGGCCTGGATGAGGGGGAGGGGTTCGGCATTACTCTTGAGTACGGTCTCGCTGTCGCCGCCGACGATGACGAGAACGTCAAAGTCATTCAGACGCTCGTAGGCGTCTTTGAAGGAGATCTGGGTGCCGATGGTGACGCCACAATCGGAGACGACCTTGGGCTCTGCAGCCGCGATGGTACACTCGAAGGCCTTGGAACCTGCGGGCGGTTGGGATCACTGGTCAGCACTGCTGCGTCAAGAGGAGTAGTGGCAGACTGAGGTGGGGAAACGGTTTGGTTGAGGAGCTCCTTGCCAGGTAGATCTGGGTACGCACTCGGGTTCTTCTGGTCATGGAGGGCGGTGGTCAGGGCCTCCATTGGGCCTGCCATGTCGAGAAGATCAAAGTTGGGTTGCAGGGCGAACAGAACCTCAATGGGCTCGTCCGCCACTGCAGAGCTCTTGTTTGCCATCTTGACGACTGTTTGTGATGTGGTTTAAGGGGGGAAGATGAAGTAATACAGCGTGTAGTTGCTGTTGGAGTAATTGGAGTAATTGAGACCGAGAAGAGAAGTCCTCGGAGAAGGTCGATGCTGGGGATTGGATGTGGGTTGTTTGGAAAGTGTGAAGCTTGTTGGTGATGATGGAAGAGAAGGAGAAGAAGACAGCTCAGAGCTATTTGGATGAAAAGAGGGAGGGGAGGGAAGTAATAAGGGTCGAGTCATCCGGGCAAAGGAGGGGTTGGAACGCCGCCCGATCTCTCGGTCTCTGCCTCTCTCTGCCTCCTTTACCTGTCTTCCAACTTGTCTACCTCCTCACGCATCACCTTGAGGTGGACGTTTAGGTACCTCACCTCACGGCATATCCCTCCAGCATCCCCCCTTCGGATCTGCGCAGCTGGCCAGCTTCAAAGCACCCTAAGCAGCCCCTCAGCTCAGGTCACTGTCTGTCGGCGACCGATCAGGTGCGTTTGTGGATAAGGCCACAGCCCACAACAGCTTCAAGTGGTCCAATGGCCCCACTATCTCCCGTACGTTTTCTGGGGTCGGGTGCATCAGTGGCCCATGGGCCATGGGCCATGGTGCATGGCGCACTTTCGCGGATTGCGGGGTTAGACGACGAGCGTTCTGCCCGTGAGGTCACTGGTGGGTCCCGGTACATGCCTGCATGGCAGACAAACCACCGAGATGCAAGTATCCCGTCGGCGCACCGTAGGACCCGTAAAAAAGGGCTAAGCGAGCCCAGTAGAGAGTGCTGTCCTGCCTACGATGTCTGGCCCTCGTCGGCCGGGCCTGCCGCATGGTGGTCTTCTGCTCTACCCCTCCATAAGTACCTTGGTACCTACCTATTTAGTTTCAAGTGACCCAATTTTGGCCATTCGCCATCTTGTAACCTACGAGAGAGGGTCCCTGGCAGAGCTTGTACCTTGCATCAGCAGATTCCGTTGCCTGACAGTTGCATGATATCGTATCGACTTCCACCCACGCCAACAGACGGACCTCGCCTCACTTTCTGTTACAGACCTAAGCATCGCAAGTCTCGATGAAGACTTTCCGGTAACAAAATGGCGTTATCAGCGTAAGTAGCCAGATTTCCCAGTATGCTCTGCTGCCTTGTGCGGTGCGCGATATTCAATCTCGCGGCTTTTTCCAACCCTACCGCAACCCTCGCGATAAGACATACGGTTGACTGACGCCACGCTGCATAGGTCACTCAAGGACCTGTCTAAGGTACTGACGTCCTTCTTCGCCTCACCTTCCCTTCCGCTGCCCGACGATGTCGCCGAGGTCATCGATGCCTACCTGAACAAGCATGAAAAATACGATGATTCGAGCGCCGAACGACTGCAGGATGAACTCCTCAGCACCTGGGAGAAGCAAATAAAGGATGCGCCGGCCAAATATGCCCCTTTTCTACATATCTTCCGCCTTCTGGTGCCTGCGATCCGCGCGCCCGCCCGCTTGCTCAAGTGGTGGGATATGCTTCACAACCCTGTCCTGGAGAATATCACCCGGGAGAAGGATTTGATGGAAGAGTCAAACTTGGCAACACTGGAAGTTTTGATGCTAGGAACACCTGAAGACGACGACTCAAGTGCCGAACCCGGCATCAATCCGTTCGCCAAACGGCTATTGCTGGCATGGTTGGAAAGATACCACAAAATTCAGTCCGAGAGCGACTTGAATGCGCAATCCAGCGAGCGCACGCTACGTCAGGCTTTGATCACCTACGGCAAGAAGAAGCCCAAAGTACGTATAATCATGTGCTGAGCGTTGTTGCGACTGGTTGTCTGACGATATGAAAGGATTTTCTCTCCACATTGGATACCTGCTTCGTGCGGAGTGAATTCCGAGCGAGAGTCGCCAGACTGCTTTGCGAATTCATTCAAAGTCAGCCACCGCACCTACACCTAATACTGCAGACGCCGCTGTTCAACAACTTGATGCGATGCTTACAGCAAGACACATCAGCAGCCGTCATTTCCGTGACAATCACCGCTTTGATTATGATATTGCCGCATATGCCAAGTTCGTTGGTGCCGCATCTCCCAACTCTGTTCAACATATACGCACGGTTGCTATTCTGGGATAGCGAATGGACTGGAATCATTGAGCCCACATCGGATGAAGGCGATCAGAAGAGTCTCGCATTGCCGTCAAGGTGGGAGACCTGCCATTCTCCGCCAGAGGCCGATGAAATTGAGATCCCTCACTTGTCCAACTACTTCACAATTCTCTACGGCTTATATCCCATCAACTTCATGGACTACATCCGGAAACCACAGCGGTATCTCCGACATGCAAATGCAGTCAACCCGGACGAGCTTGAAGTCCAGCCAACCGAAATACGGCACAAGTCTGAACGCTACAGGCAAAGTCACCTTCTGCATCCCAACTTCTACACTCTCACGATCGACTCCGAAAAGACCGACTTCGGGCGTTGGATGACAAGTGAGCCCGCAGAAGTCGTGGCTGAATGTATGGCGCTGCGTTTTTCCCCCGAAACTTTCGCAACTGTCGACCAGGGCCATGGCCAAGCCCTTGAGGCACACAACTCCCCGCGGAGCGACGAATCAGATCGGGATGGTCTCGGGCCTGCCCTGCTTAGTGGCTCCAGTTTGGAACCTGTGGCAGAGAGCTGGAAAACCACGCAAAATCCAGAACAAGACGAGGGAGCGAGCAGCCATACCCATGCTACTAGCCAGCGCCAGAGCTCACTATCTAGTCAGCCTTCACATAGGACCTCACTCGAAGCCCCCAAGGCCGATATAGTAGCTGACAGCCCTACGCTACCCCCGCAGCTCGTCACATCGCCCTCTCATACACAGTTGCAGGACATGTTGCACTCGAATAAGGTCATCAAGTCGGGACTCCATCAGTCACTGGCGAACGACAGTGTCCCGTCACTCGCCCTGAGCCATCAGGAGTCCGCGGCAGAGAAGTCTAACAGTTATGTGCCCCCTCCTCTACCGACTGTTTCAGCCCCCACGTCTGTTTCCGATGGCCAGTCTCAGATCGCGCATTTGCAGCGGCAGATTCTCCTTCTGCACAATGACCTGAACTTTGAGAGGTATCTCAAGCAGCAACACATGGCACACATCGGTGAGTTGCGGCGAAGGCAGGTTAGGGAAGCGGCAAGTGAGGCTGAGACCCAGAATCTCATCCTGACCAATCGAACATTGAGAAAGCGGTTGGAAGATTCAAAGAAGGCCGAAATGCAGACCAGGAAGGAGTCGGAGAAGAGCCGTACACTGGCGAAGAAGTGGGAGTCCGACTTATCCGCCAAACTGAGAACGCTGCGTGAGGAATCGAGAAAGACCAAGACGGAAATCCAATCGTTGAAGCAGGAGCTCCAGAGTGCAAGAGAAGAGTGCGAGAAACTGAAGAAGCTGGTATGCGACGCCGAGGTCAAGGAGCTCAATTCGAAGCAGACCATGCAATCCATCGAGATCAATGCCGCCGAGAATGATCGGCTGAAGGCCGATGTGGAGCGCCTGTCGACCTCGGAAAGGAATCTCCAAGCTAAGGAGGGAGAGAGGCAGGCGGCGATCACGTCTGCGACGGAAGCAGAAAACCGAGCAAAGACGCTTGGCTTGCAGCTTCAGGCTCGCGAGGAGGAGCTCCAAAAGACCAAGAAGCTCTTCCAGGCCCAGATCGGGGTGCTGAACGCGAAGCTCCTCGAAGCACACACCGGTCTCTACAGTAAACGAACCGCCGAGACCAAGGCTGCTGTGGAGAGTGCCCTTGCAGCGAGCCGGGCGAAGCAGGCCGAGCTGCAGAAGCAGTATACCACTCTGATGAGGAAGTACACAGTACTGCAGTCGCAGGTCGAGGAGAACCGGTTCTCGGTTGGGTCGTCCAACTCGCACGGACGAGGTGACTTGGTCTTCTGCATGGATGGCGACGGTGAGGGCTCAATGCACTCAACCAGTCCCGTCACGACGCGGGGAAGCCACTCAGGCTTGCACAGGGTCTTGTCCGACCACGACTTCATGACGTACAACGCGACACCGCCCATCATGTCCAAGCCGGCGACGCCGGTGCCGGCGGGCCTGGCGCATCTGCCGCCAGTGCAGTCCAGCCCGCTGGATTTGGACGACGGCGCAGCGGCCAGCCCATCGTCGGCAGAAGCGAAATATCACGGCAGAGGTGAGTCGGCAACAGCACGGATTCGGTTCAGTGATGGCTTTTTGTGGATCAACTAACCAAGAGCCTTGGTTTCTTTTCTTCATTCAGGCGGAGTTCAAAACCGACGAAAAGACGAAAAGGGCAAGAAGTCCGGAGTGATTCGGGGTATCCGCGGATACATGTGAAGGAGCAAACAAAATGGACGGTGCATGTTGGATCGGTATCGTGTTTCGAGTGCGAGATGCATCGCGAGAAGAAGAGATACCCAATGCCTGGTGATACAGCGCTTTTCTGCATTCATGTCGCAGCATGCTATAGAGGACCACAACGTAGAGAGACTGCGTTAACCGATCATTGTATGAGGAATTCAAAGCTGCCACCAGGAAACCCGCAACTCTCCCCCCGTGCTACCTCCCTCGCCCCTTCGCCCAGGCTCGCGCGACCCGCAAGCTCTCCATAGACCCTCATCCGCGCGCCCATCGTCACCAACCAGACAACAAAAAAGCCTGCCCGGCTAGCTCAATCGGTAGAGCGTGAGACTCTTAATCTCAAGGTTGTGGGTTCGACCCGTAAGCGCATGCCCCGTCACAGTTCGTCCACGAACAGACCGTCTGGACATAGTCACTAACTCGATATCAGCCACGTCGGGCTCAATTCCCGTCCGCGATTGAAGCGCATTCTCTTTTTATCTTTTTTAAACAAGAAATAAGTAATAAACAAAAACACCCTCACCGATCCCCGCGCCGTTGTTCTTTGATACCTTAATGCAGCGGGAGAAAAAAAAGAAGAAGAAAAAACCCTGCGGTGTCGTTTGAACGAGGGGATGAGAGAGATGATGTACAGAGAGTGCTGTGTGCCCTGCAGGTTTCAACATCCAGTCCGTCTGTCCTAAAATACTAGATCATCTTGGTAAACTGGATCGAGCATGCCATGCCGTCTCTGATGGCGACGGGGAGAATACTAGTTTTACAATATCGAGAGAGAAAGAAAAAAAAAAAGACAAAAGAAGGGGGGGGGGGGGGTGGTGAAAAAAACACAGAGCCAATGAATCACAGACCACACGCACCACCAGGGGCTGTCCATGCCATGATTCCTTTTTTGTATTTCTCTAGGGTTATAACTTCTTTTTTAATAAAAAAAATCGCCATCTCGGCGGTTCCCATGTATTCATACATTTTGCCCCTCCTTTTTTCGGCTTCTTCCTCCCCATCTCGCAAGTCTATCGCTCTCATTCGAGCACTCATGTTCAGGCCGGTGTGGCCTATGCTACGTGGACGGAAAATAGGGAGGGCGCTCAATCGGCGGCGTTATCCAAAAACAAGGAGGGGAGCTCATAAATCTCACATGACGTGTTTGAAAAGGTACTCCGTCACATTCGACTCAGTGAGGCCAGCTCGCGCGTCGCCCTGGTCGACAGGATCCAGCAGGGACCGATTCAAGTCTTCTAAGGGTCCTCAGTGGTCGCGGCGGCTGCAGCGGCGGGCACGGATACGTCGGCATCCATCTCCTCAGGCGTGGGGGCGTCCTCCATATCAACGGCCTCCTCCTCCTCCGCAACCTCCTTCTCTTCGACGGGGGCGCCCGCCGCCTTGGCCTTGGCGGCCTCGTCAATCTGTCGCTGCTTCTGCAGGCTGTTGTTGATGAGCGGCGTCGTATCGTTGAAGATGCGCAGCAGCATGGCCGTGCGGTCCTCTTTAGGCAGCATGAGGTTGAGCGAATGGATGCTCTTCCACAGCGGCAGCGCCATACGCTCGCTGAAGGCCGGGTCCGAGCCGTCGGGCTCGACGCGGAGCACGCAGCAGCCCATGCCGATGTCACGGACGCGCGCGCCGATCTCGCCCATCTTCTCCCACTCGCCGTCGGCGATGCGCGGGAACATCTCGATCAGGAGGCGGCGCAGCGTCTCCTTGCTTGTGAGGCGGATGACGCGCTGCTCGCCGACGTATCCCTGAAGGATCGGCATGCCCTCGGACTGAATGCGCCAGCGGCAAATCTCGGCCGAGGGGGCGTCCTGCTTCATGAACATCTTGACGCCGCCGTGGATGACCTTAATGCCGCGGCCCTCGTTCTCGACGAGGATGTCGCGCGCGAGCGCCGAGGTGTAGTAGATAGCCTTGGCGGGCTCGCCGGCCGCGTTGCGCACCATGAAGCGGTCGTCGGGGAAGCGTGACGAGATGTGGTAGAAGTTCTGGATGTTCTTGATGACCTCGTGCGCAGGGTTGAGGTACTTGAAGGGCTCCTCGACCTGACCGTGGATGTTGCGGTTGGACCTCTTGGGCTTCTCTTGTGACGCCTCCAGCTTGGGCTTCTTGGTCTCTTGGGTCTCACCGTCAGCGGTCTCGTCCTCTCGCGCTCGCTTCACGCCGTTCGTAGCATCCTGCTCGGCCACTTCGGCCTCGGCCGTGGTGGCCTTTTCCTCAATTTTTTCCTCAGGCTTGGCCTCGGCGGCCTCATCGGTGGCAGCGGGAGCTGCCTCGGTCTTCTCTTCGGTCTGTTCCTCGGACTTCTTCTCCGTGTCGTTCTCAGCTGCGGGGGTGGCCGCCGCGGTGGCTCCGTTCGACTTGGCCGCGTCGTCAACCTTCTGATCCTCGGGGCGGATCTTGACCTCGGCCTTCTTTTGCAAAACGGTGATGAAGAAGCCACCGGTGTCCTGCTGGTGAGCGTAGACTCTCATGCAGCGCTCGAGAGGGAGGTCGGCGCACACGCTGCCTTCCACAGGCGGGAACATGGTGTCGACGATTCTGCCGGGCGCGATGCCGTCAGTGCTGCTCTTGGTATATTCGTCGACCTCGGCCTGCGAGCTCCAGAGCCTGCCGGACTTGTCCATGATTTGCCACTTGCGCATGCCGGGGGCACGGACAAGACCCTGCAGCTCGCTGCTACAGTCGACGATCTCGACCTTGTCGGGACCACCAGCACGGTCGATGGCGGCCGCGACAACAGACTCGTTCTCGACGGGGTTCATGCTGCATGTGGAGTAGACGACGCGGCCACCCACCTTGAGCATGGCGAGGGCGCGCAGGAGGATTCTGACCTGGGTGACGTGGAGGCCCAGGGCGTTGCCAGGCTGCCAGTCCTTCCACAGGTTCATGTTCTTTCTCAGCGTGCCGTCACCCGAGCACGGCACGTCAGCGAGAATCCGGTCGAACTTGAGGTACTGAGGCCTGTTGGGAGTCGCCGGATCGGATGGGAGCTTGATGGAAGGATACTGGGTGGCATCGTGGTTCGTGACAAGCAGGTTGGGAGATCCAAGACGCTTGAGCTGGTGAACAAGCATGTGGCCGCGCTTGTAATCGGCGTCGTTGGCGATCAGGAGACCGGTGGTGCGTCCAGCATCCGTCGGGTCGGCGTCGAGGTCGGCCTGGCGCTCCTCTTCCGTCTCCTCGCCGAGGTCGAGACCGTCCTCCTTTGCAAACGCGCGCAGAACCTTTCTGACCCTAGCCTCCTCGCCCTGGTGGATCATCTCGAGAAGTTGGCCGGCCTTGCTGCCCGGCGCGGCGCACATGTCCAACACGGTCATGCCGGGGCGGACGTCCATTAACAGAGGCGGGATCATGCTGACAACCTCCTGTCTGCTGATGTTGCCGATGGTCGTCTCGGAAACGAGGAACTTCTGGAAAGCGGCGAAGGGGGGGTATTTGCGAATGACGTTCTTCGGGGTGGTCATCCACCAAGCAAGTTCGTTAGGGTACCAGGAGAGGGGCTTGGGGGGCTCGACGGTGCTTCCGTCAGCATGTTCGATCTTTTCGATCTCGGGCATGTATCGGCTTTGTAGGAGCTTCTTGACGGCCAAGGCGTGACTGCGGAGAAGGGGTCAGTATAGTTGTAGGGATAGAAGCACCGGTTGAGTCGATGCAACCCACCCTTTGGAACCGCAGAAGCGGAAGCTGTTGGGGAGGTCTCTGCGCAGGGCATCCCAGAAGGGGCCCTGTTCCTCCTCAGAGAGGCCGATGATGGTGTTGTAGTAGCGCTGGAGCCTCTCGTTCTCCTTCTTGACGGCGGGGTAGGACTGCCACGACTCGCTGCGAGGCTGGCGACCGCGATCACCGCCCCCGTTGCCGCCGCCGCGGCCCTTGCCCTTCTTTCCACCCTGACACAATTGGAGTCAGCGCAAACAACAGTGTAAACAGCATCATGAAAGACTCACTCTAAATTTGCGACCCATTATGCAGGATGGATTCGACGTGCGTGGGGTTGGTGAATTGCGCACGTGTGTAGTGCGCGCGTTGTCTGGTTTGGAGAAGGCAGGAAGGGATTGTCGGCCGTCGAGTCGCGCGGTGTGAAATTTTGCCGTCACCCCAGAAAACCCAAAAATAAAAATAATAATTTGGAGGTTCGGAGGTGGAATGCGCCAGCCTATGGCCAGCCCCTCGATTTGGGGGGGGGTTGATTGGCCAATCAGACGCCCGTACCGTTGACTATCTTATCACCCCGCATTGAACCCCCTTGTCCCTCAGGGTCCGCCCTGGCCTGCCGCATTCAAGGAGCTACATCCGTCAGCCGCGTCTTACCTAGGTACGTGTACTTCTCAACATTTGAGACAACATGGAATGTCCTCGAGGGAATGTTCTGTAGCTCTGAAGTAATGCCAGGCATTTGCCGGATTGAATACTTCATAGCTCTCTCTAAGTTGACAAGGTTCTGGAAACCTTCGGCCTCCGTTCTGTCCGCAACGGGTCACGACAGCGATGGTCATGGTCGCTTAGATGAGCTGGACTCTCCACGCCCGCTTCGCTTCATCCGTTGCGTGGGGTATTTCTCTGGCCACTTATGCCTGGGAAATGACTGGGTTCTCATCCCTGGCGTGAACGCCGAAGTGGGCGCCGAGGCATAACGACTCCAAGGGTAGCTCGCAGTGCGGAGTTCCGCGGCGACCGGTGTCTGGTGACTCTGCCCCCGAGTAGTACGATTCCCCTTCTTCGCCGATGCAGATGACGTCCCCATCTGGCAATAATAATTTGGGTTTCCAAGCAATTGGATCGGCATGCCAGCAAACTAGGATCGGTATCCTGGACGCTAGAAACCTAGATGTCCATAGGTCGCGGAGCGACATCCGCGGCTTTCGGCTTGGGATCGGCTAGTGCACTACCATCACTCGCTACTTTTAGCTGGCTGGCTGCCCGCCTTCTCTAGATGTCATAGCTCTCTCTCTCTCTCAACCAACTGTAACCAGACTCTCCTGACTGTTCATCGCTCAATCTCAGCTACGTTCGGCTCAACATATAGGACAAGTGACTCACATACGCAGAACAAGCCATGGCTCCCTCCACCTCCGTCAACCAGGAAGATACCTCGGATGTCATCCACAGCAACGTCAACGACAGCGGCGCTTCCCCCAGCTCAAAGCCGGCTACCAAACATGAAGAGGCGACTATCTTAAACCCGTCGGACTTCACTATGCCCCAAAAGTTCGACAACCCGTACAAACAGCGGCAGCATCTCAAGGAGCGCCTGGCCCTGGGATTCCGCATCTTCGCCAAGAATGGCTTCGACGCCGGGGTGGCAGGCCACATCACGGCCCGCGTATGTGTACCCCTTGCTTCAGGATGGTGTCGCGAAAAGGGAGAAATTCAATCTTGAAGAAACAACGACTGACGTTATCTGCGTAGGATCCCGTGGAGCCGGATACGTTCTGGCTGAACCCCTTTGGCGTTGCGTGGCCGCTCCTCAAAGCCTCTGACCTCATTCGCGTAAACGCTGAGGGTAAGGTCGTCGACGGCGGCCCCGTGAAGCTCCTCAACACGGCCGGTTCGTTCACGCCCCTCCCACCTTGACAAATGTTTCTCTTGGCTCTTGCGTCTCCCCTTTTCCCGCCTGGCAAACTGACACGGAAGCTTATCCTCAGCCTACATGATCCACCACGCAATCCACGAGGCCCGCCCGGACATTATATGCGTCGCCCACTCCCACTCCCTCTACGGCCAGGCCTTCTCGTCGCTCGGCCGCAATCTCGACATCATCAGCCAGGACACCTGCGCCTTCTACAACGACGTCGTCCTCTTCGACTCCTTTGGAGGCATCGTCCTCGGCAAGGAGGAGGGGTTGCGCATCGCTGCCGCCCTCGGCGGCAAGAAGGCCGCCATCCTCCAGAACCATGGCCTCGTCACCTGCGGCAAGTCCGTCGAGAGCTGCGTCTACTGGTTCCTGAGCCTCGAGCGCTGCTGTCACCAGCAGCTCCTCGCCGACGCCGCCGCGGGCGGGCGGGGCCACGAAACGACAAAGGTCGACCAGGAGGACGCAGAGTTCACGTACAAGTCGATCGGGTCGGAGCTCGCGGGCTGGTTCTCGGGAAAGCCGGCTTTTGACATGATGGAGCACGAATCAGGGTTTGAGTATAAGAAGTAGATTCATGTTAGTTTTGTTTTGGTTCCCCCTCACAGCGGGATTGGCAACGGTAGCTTTAACAATTAATGTATCAAGATTGTGACCAACATCTATCGACGATTTGTGAGATTTGTTATTTGCGCCCATGCATGTGAGTGACCGAGCTGCAATGAATGGAGCAAATAGCCCAGGGACACACTTTGTGTAAGAAAAGGATGGGCAGTTTGGTTCAAGAGAGGGTCGGCCCAACGACGAGCAAAAAGCTCATCATTTCTTCATCAGTGGGGTGGTATTACACAATGATAGTACACAAACTATGATACATCTACTCGTCGAGCAACCCCACAGTCCAGTAGACAATCCGGTCCACTCCCTGGCCGTTGATGGCGCTCACGGGAATCGCGGCACACTTCTCCGTCCAAGCATTCTCAATCCCGCTTGGATGAGGAGTTGTTCCTCGGTTGATATCCTGCAGGTACTGCTCCAGCTCCCTGAAGTTCTCCTGGGTCTCGGGGAGATCGGCCTTGGTGGCGACCACAAACCAGGGCTTGGCCGCGATGTGCAAGCCGTCCTCCCGCTTGGGCGCCGGAGGAGCGTCCGCAACCATCATAGTACCCCCCGACGGTACGCGTCCGCTAGCACCGGAGGTGAGGTCCCAATCGACACGGGAGTCGATCTCACGGGCGCGCTCTTCTTCCTCGCGCATCTGAGCGTAAAGACCGACTTCATTCCACAGCGCCTTGAGGGCCTTTACGGCCGGGCCCGCAGAGAGGTCAACGACGAAAGCGAGCACGCCAGCACGTTCAACGTGACGCAGGAAAGCGATGCCAAGACCCCGATCCAGGTGAGCACCCTCGATGAGACCCGGAATATCGGCAACCGTAAAGCGAGTTCGTTGCTCGACGAGCACCTCCTCCTGGCCCGAGCCGCCATTAGTGGCCGGGTAGCGCTTGTAGCTCTTGATGACAGGCCGCCCCTTGTAGCTGTCCAGGACAACTGTTCCGATATTTGGCTGCAAAGTCGTGAAAGCCCAGTTGCCGACGCGTGTGCGCGAGTTTGTAAGCGCACGAAGAAGCGTGCTCTTGCCAGCGTTGGGCAACCCAACAAGACCGACGTCGGCAAGCAACTTCAGCTCTAGCTCAATTTCCATGGTCACGGCACGCTCACCCTTTGTGGCGAAGATGGGTCGTGGGTATTCTCGCGATACAAAGTGAGGATTGCCAAGGCCGCCAATACCGCCGACGGCGAGCAAAATGGGCTGGGGCGAAGGCCGCGACAGATCGAGCTGGATCGGGCCAGGCGGTTGGTGGTAGAGACGCGTACGGGTCGGAGCTCGGGGAAGAGATATCGTCTTCAGATCAGACTTTGAAAGACCAGGATATAGAAGGAACTTGTTCCGGTCGGGATCATCGGGTTCATCAAAACCATCGTCGATGACCTGCTTTGTGGCACTGTTCTCCTCTTCCGCCATCTCCTCATCCACCTCCTTCGGCCCTTCCTCTAGCTCTCGCCTCGCCATTTCCGCCTCGCGTGCCAGTTTCATCCGCTTCTCAGCCTTCTTCTGAGCCTTCAGAGTACGCTGCAGCATCGCATCCTCGGCAACTGGGTCTTCTCTGCTCAGCTCGCGCACCACCGTACCGACTGGCACCGTGATGATGACATCGTCGCCCCGCTGGCCACCTTTCGAGCTGCCTTGCCCGGACTTCCCTTTGCCGGCCCGAATAAACCGCCGCCTGGCTAGCTTGTGCAAAGAAGTCTCGCCGTGCACTGCTTGTATGTAAATGTTGCCTCCGTGGCCACCGTCGCCGCCATTAGGGGGGCCGTCGGGAAGGTATGCGTCGCGGAAGAAGGAGATGCAGCCATGGCCACCGGGGCCAGCATAGAGAGTTACGGACGCCTTGTCAGCGAATATGGGGGAAGAATAATCGTCGGGAGCTGGGTTCAATCGGCTGGCCTTTGGTTCGCTGGCGACGTGGGTCGAACTGTGGCGACGACATGCGACTGCTCGTGTAGCAAGTCGAGGTGTCACGGTGCTTCTGGCAACGAACAACGAGGGGTAAAGGAATGGAAGAAAAAGCGTATGCCCGGCGGAGCACCTTGAAACCATCTTTGTTCCTCGTCCGCGGCGGTTTGAAGCGGTTGTCGTCGTCGAGTAATTAAGACTCCTTCGGATGAATCGAAGCTATGGAAATTTTGGAACTTTCCGCCATGTTGGAGCGATAAGATAAGGCTATTGGTTACATAATCGAGCAGGGGCGGGAGCAGCCGCTGTGAGACTGGGATCAATCACCCAAATCACTGGGAAGTTAACCGGAGTGCACTGCCTCCCTCACAAGCTCCCCTTCAAACTGCCTGAGGAAGGAGGAAGGAACGAAGATGGGTCTCGCTTGTCTTTTCAGCCTCTTCAACGTCATGTCGTCATGTCGTAATACGCGGCTCCTTTCGTTGGCTACGGTGCGGCAGGCTTGGGTGACCCAAAGCGCGATGCTAGAGCTTACCAATGATGGGTCGCCACAGCTTCTATGTGAGTCCAGAATATGATTAATCAATTTGTACAGGTAGATGCAGCCGGCCCTCATGGAGAGGCCGGCAGCATGGGGACATGCGGTGAGAGAGGCTGGAGTTTCGACCATAGAAGACCTCTCTCCGTCGGATAGTACAGTATCGCAGACATAGCTTGCAGAGCCTGACGGAAAGCGACATAGTGGGAGCGATGGCAGACTAAGTAGTTCATCACGCACGGTCCGGGGCGTGTTCGGTAAGCTGTCCAGACCTGGAGAAGTTGATCCGAGCATTCGTTCGCCAGGCGTTCGTTTGTCAATGGGGACGGGGCCCCTCGATGTCGCATCGGCCGGAACCTAGTGGTTGGTGGCCCCCCAGCTGATCAGTTTCCTACCTACCTACCTACCTTACCTTACCTACCTAGTTACTGCTGCCCCGCCCTCACACTTGTCTGGCTTGGTCTGGTCTCTTTAGTACCTTTTGCATCGTATTTTATTTTGCTTTGTTTTACATATAGTAGGTAGCTTAGGTAAGTGTCTGGTCTGGGGTCTTAAGGAAGGAGGGGGGAAGAGAGGTCCAGCCAGCCACCCCACCCCGCCGGTCGTCTCGGCCTGGAAGCTTACCCGCCCGACCTCTCTCGTGCCCCTCTCCGCTTTCTCTCCTCGTCGGTGTCTCCCGTTGGACCAGCGGGGCCCACCAACGCATCGTGAGCGGTACTTCTCGCTCTTCAGTCCAGTGCCGCTTCTCGGTTTCTCGCCCAACCTCCCAAACCCCATCGCCCCCTCCCCGCTTCACTACAAACCGCTCCACGGCCGATTCTGACTGCAGCTCTCCCGCATACATACCTACATCCATCCCTCTCTTGCCCGTCCTTGCCCCCCCGGCCCCTGCTTACCTAGCTAGTCCTTGACCGCCTTGAAGCCCAAAGACAAAGCGAGGGGCGGCGACAACGCACACATAATCTGCTCCTCCACTCCTTGACCTGTTTGCTGCCCTCTGCCCTCTGCTCTTCGTCTGCAGACTGACTGGCTGCGGTTTTCAACATTTTCCCCCATCTTCCATCCTCTCTGCTCTCACCCCCTTCTGGCTGACCAAGTGAGGCCCAATCTTACTGGTCGCCTATCGGAAGAACCCATTGGGATTTGGTCGGGTAGACGAACTCGCTATCCTGCCCACTTGACCCTTCCCTCCATTGGGCCACTAACCCCCAAGGCTTGCATATCGAAGGACGCTGGCATTCGAGCCACGACACTCGCTGCAGTCGAACCCCCGTCCCCATTCGATCTTCTCCTTCACCTACCTGCGTCCTCGTGGATCAGACTATCTTCTCCCCACGTCTCCTCCCGCATCGTCTGCTTCTGCTCTCCGCTGAATGAGAGTCCGTCGTTGGACTACCGCCGTCTCCGTTGCTGTCAACTCGGCCTATTCCATCGTACGCTTTCGAAGCGCTGCTCGCTGCTTGCTTGCGTTGTTTCATGCTTCGATGCTGCAGGATACATAGCACTGGCCGACAGCAGTAACTCGCTTTATTCGTCCTAGTTTTGTTTATTCCCAACTCTTGTCCATACTACCGACGCACTTCCGCGCCGTATCCAGTTCCCTCTTAATAATAACTTAAGTCAGGTCAGTCCATCACCGGTTTCCTCTCTTCTTCCACCCCCTCCATCTCACTCCACGAGCTTCTTTCCCCCAACCCACCAGCGTCCCTCCATGAGACCCCGTTCCTGGGTCTCGAAAGGAATAATGTCATTTGTACTAGTAGTAGATGATCCATCTTGACCTCATTGTACAATATACTCCCACATCGAGCCTCTTCCCCTCACCCACAAAAGACAGGTTGTCAGTGTCCCGTCCGGGAAACAATCTGCTAAAATGTATGCCAGAGACTATAGGCCGCGCACACCGCGCACTCCGCGAACGCGCAAGACCACAGTTAGAATGGACCCTGACTGCGCCATATGCCATGCTCCTGCCTCTGTGGCATGCGACTGCGAGGCCAAAGGGCTGGACGTCGCCATTAAACAGGCTGAGCAGCGTATGATGCAGTCGATATACAACGATATTCGGTAAGCCAGATACTACTTGATCCGACTGCACTTTGTGCTGACTGCCTGACCAGGAGCTGGGTCCGCGCTCACGCCCAAGACTACATCTTGGAGTATTTCCGCCTTCTCACAGAGCGCCGGAAGGTAGCCCACGCCGCCAATATCGATCGTATCAATGCCACCGCGTACCACTACTACCATGCTGCCCCCCACCCCAGCGAACTCGCCCAGGCACAAGCGGACCTAAAACGTGGCATTGACGAGGACTGGCAATCCAGCGTCCAACGATACCCCGAGGTCTTGGAATATTTCTTCAGTCTAGTGGACCTTACGGTGCCTCCCGACGAAGACCCCATTGTCAAGGACCCTCCCCTGAGCGCCCTTAGTGGCTCAAGAAAACAAACTGGAAGAAGGCTTGCAGGCGGCATACCACAGCCACCGGCTAGACCACCGGCCATTACTGCTGCTATTGGACACGAAAGAGATCCATTTGCAAGGAGAACACCGCCTCCCATGGAGCCGCCTGGCAGGTTGGACAGGAGAACTCCGGGCTTGGGAGGCAGAGACAGGAGATCCATGCCGCCCATGGGACACCCAGGTCCACCCCCGGGTCCTTATGGACGACCACCACCTCAGGCACCTCCAGGATACTATCCATGGGGCGCTTGAAGGCGCCTCATGTCGCCAATAAACGTTCCACAAGGTGGATCCCTCCCGAAGCTCGAAGACTCCTTGATGCCGAAAAATACGGCGCATCAGTGTGTTGATGTCATGTTTTTATGAGGCCCACGAACTGAATGAGCAATTTGCCCGGCGTATTGACACGATATTCATCAGCCTCCCTTGCATTGCAGAACGGAGAGGCGTCTTGGGGCAACTCCATCTGTGTTTGTTTTTTTCCTGCCTTTTCCCCTTTGATATGCTAAGAGACACTATGAATTTGCGCTTGTTCTCTGCCTGTTTTGTACGTCCGATATCTCTTCTATGTTTCTGGCAGTCGGCACTGGAGTATGGTTCACGGAAAGAGGGCATCATGGTTAGCATTTACGACGGCGCAGGCCGGACACTGTTTTTCTTCTTCGTACCTGCCATCCCGCCAGCAAATAATCCTGGAAGAGAACGGGCTGCTAGGCAACAATCCACACAAGATATAAACGTCTTCGAAATGCTCCTATGTTGATGTGATGATATGCAACGCGAGATGACTTGCGAGCCGAGTGTACACTCAGGTTACGCGCAACATAGGCGAGACATTGACAGGAGACAACACAACGAATCGTTCCTCTGCAGTGGCTCCAGACGGGTCGGCACGTCACACCGCGCGGCCAACGGGCGATCGGGGTGTGCTCGACAAGCACACCTGCCTGACCACGGCGGCCCAAGACGACGGGGGAAGAGGGGGGAAGGGGGGCCAATGGCTGCGGCGATTGGGCTCCGCGATTCGTGGAAATGCGTGGACTTGCCGCATGGGACCGGGCCCGCAGTAGGCAACTCTGTATCGGCGGACGCCAGCGCAAGGTCTCGGCCGAGAGGGTTAGGTGAGCAAGCCAGCAAGAACAAGACAGGGGGTGAGAGGGTTCTCTGATGTTAGACTGCTAGGTTCGGTCCTTGCACGCTAGGTAGCCCAGTGCAACAACAACGACAACAACAACAACAACAACAACAACAACACAAAAAAGAGAGGGAGGAAGAGGACATCACTCGACGATGCGCATTCCGGGTGGGTGTGTCAGGTGTCCTCCCCCCCAACACCCAGAGACCATATTCATTAGCGGGCAGCGGGGTAGGTTCTGTGGCACTGTCTTGGTGAAGAAATCGGAGAAGCTCTTTGTTTTCTCTCTTTTGACCTCTCTCAATTTCTGGCAGGAACTAGTAGGTTTTGGAGGTGGGGGAGGAAGGGATGCTGCTAAGTACAAGAAAGCCGCCTCGAGGGACCCGAGCTGTAGAAAACGACGCAAAAACAAGCCAGAGAGTTTTCTTTTTTATATTTGGGAATTAATAAAAAAGGGTTTCGCGTTCCCCCCCGTGATCCGAAGCTTTTCTTGGGTTTTTTATGCAAGTGTTTTGGTTTCGTGTGTGCGTATATCGAGTCAGCCATCTCTGTCTGGGGACCTTTTTTGCGTGGTTCCTCATCACCACCATCAATACCATCACCACCACGTATCAGACGGGAGAGGAAACCAGGACAAGGGGGAGGGGGGAAAAGGCGACATAGATGGAGACGAGGGTTCAGTCAACTAATATGGTGGATCGGCAAGTCGATTGACTATGCCTTGTCCTCGACGGAGGTCTCCTCGAGGTTCTTGGTAACCTCCTCGACCGCATCGCCGTTGCTGGTGACGCCGTTGGCCTCGTCGGCGTCGAGCTTCTCAAGTTGCTTCTTGGCTTTCTCAATGTTCTGGAAAGATCAGTCAGCATCGGGTGAACACCAAAATTCAAAACACTCTTGGACGAGGAGGGAGAACTTACGCGCTGCGTCTGGGCCTCCTGGTCCGACTTCCAGTGCTCAAGCTTGGCCTTGACCTTCTCGACGACGGCGGGGACATCGGCCTGGCTCATGGGAGGGTCGATGCCCATGAAAGCGCAGTCCTCGACAACGGAGGGCGGGCAGCTGTACTTGCCAGCCTTCTCCTCCGAGGCACCCGTCTTCTTGCCCTTCTTACCCTTCTTGGTGGCAGGGAAAAGCTCTTCGTCACGGTCCTTCTTGGAGAGGATCTTGACGCCCTTGAGACCGGAGTCGTCGACGGTACGGGAAGCCTGAGCGCTGAGGCCGCTGTCGGCCTGGAGAGGGGCCTTCTCGACCTTGTGGGTGGGGTCGAGGAACTGGAGTAGGCTGTTGGCGCGGCGGATCTCCTCGAGGTAAGCGGGGTCGCTAGCCTCGGCGAGGAACTTCTCCGCGTCGGCCTTCTTCCGCTCTTTCTGGTAGCGCTCCTGCTCGGCCTTTCTTCTCTCACGAGCCTTCTCGCGGGCCTCACGCTCGTAGGATTGGGCGGCCTTGCGCTGCTGCCAATACTCATCCTTAATGGTCTTGACGGCTTGGTACTTTTCGTTTTGAAGATTGTGGAGTCTGGACCGCTCATCGCGGAGCGAAGAGAGGTTCTTGTAGGCCTCGTCGCCCTCGGCCTTGATGACGTCCAACTCGGCCTGGATCTTGTTGTACTGCTCCGACATGGCCTTGGCCTCGGGGTCCTCCATCGAGTCTTTGATCTCCTTGATCTTGGCCTTGAGGTCGTCGATCTGCTTCTGCGAGTCGTCAAACTGGGAGAAGTTCTTCTTCAGCTTGCGCAGGGAAGAAATCTCAGCGAGGGCCTTCTTCTCATCGACGATCTTCATGCTGCCCGAGTTGACCTGAGACTCGAGCTTCTCGATCTGACGGTCGACCTCCTCGACGCTCTTGAAGTTGACCTTGGAGCGGGCAGTCTTCTGCTCGGTAATGCGCGAGCGCAGCTGCTCGTCGAGGCGCTTGATCTGGTCGAGCTTGGAGGTGCGGGCGTTCTTCCCGGCACCCTGCTTCTGGCGGATCTCATTGGCCTGAGCAATGAGCTCGGCGCGGCGCTTTTGAGTCGGTGATTGCTGGTCCTTATTTTTATTGGGCATGGCAATATCGATTTTGGCCTTGATGGCGTTCTAGAAGAAGCTCGGTGTAAGCAGTTTGCGATCCGAATAGCATGTGTTGTATCCCATCACAGGGCGCCTTTGCGGTAACGGCCACCCAAGAGAGTGTACAATAGGCTGCCAATTGGCATGATGATCAGACTTACCAGCTGGTCAAGCGCTTCCTTGTGCTCCTTCTCGGCAATCTTCAGCTTCTTCTGGTATTCGGCCTCGTCCGGCATGGTTGGACGGGTCTTCGTCTCGGTCTTGGCCTCAGCCGCCGCAGCGGGTGCTTGCTTGGTATCGGCCATTGTGAAGGTTGGCGGTGCTTGTCTACCGTGCAAAAGAACGAACTGTCAATCGGACAAAACAGAAGATGGCGCGCACTGCCGTGGGTGGGAGCGGGCGGCAAGGGTGGTGATGCAGAGGAGAAGGAGAGATGGGGAATCGGGATGCACTGCGCAAAAGGTGAACTTTTTTCCGTAAAAAGCTCCCCCAATTTTGTTGAAATTCACCCTTGGATTCCGTGGCAGGTACTTTCTCCAGGAGGAAAGGCCACACCTGCCATTCTGGATTCAACTGTGGGGTTCAAATCCGACAGGTGGCACGTGCATGCACTGTGACTCTGGACCCTTGATTGCATCTGTCAATCATCTGGGCACGTACCTTTGACCTTCCAAAGCCCAAGACATGCTGGGGGTTCTTCCGGTTCTGCCTGTCTCGGAATAACCTTTACAGTCGATTATTCCAGAATCCCGTCCAATCCCGTCCAGGACTGAGCAACAGCAACCGGGAGGGCCCCACTCAAACTTTTGCTCTGGCTGCAAGGCTGAACCCGCCGCCAGAACTTTTTTTGGCTTATCCGCTTCGCGACGCCAGTCTTTTTTTCGGTCTTGAACTTCCCGTCGTCGTGATACCCCATCCACCGCCCACGCCTTCCATCCCGACTAGCCCATATTTTTCCTTCGACGGCGAATTCTTCTTCTTCCTCGGGCGCCAGAAGACGCGAAAGCTCCCCCTCGATTAATACGCACCCGTCGCAACGATGTCGGACCAAAAGGATGTGAACAAGGAGGTTACCAGGCTGTGGCGCGCTTGGCGGACAGCCCACGAGATGGCTGCGGATCGCGTACGACATCCTTTCAACCGTCCGTTTTGAGAAGCTGGAGATAACGATTGCGCTCTTTCGCTACTTGGGACGGACGGGAGACTTACGGCTTGACGGCATTGGCACTAACGACGGATGACAGGGCTATGAACTTGCCGAGGACGAACTCACAATTTCACTCGACCGCTTCAAGATGGAGTACACCAGTGCTGACGGCAGCGTAAAGTACGCGCCCCTCGCTTGAACCCTCAGCTGGTCTATGGCAACTGACAATTCGTTCCTTCCAACAGCCGCAACAAGCTCCAGTTCTCCGCGAACCCCTCGGCCGAAATGATCCGCAAGTTCACCCCTCCTGCGACACCCCAGAACCCGAACCCGGCGCCCGAATGCGGCACCCTCTGGGTCGAGTTTCTTGCCGATACGACCTTTGGTATTAAGGAGATCAAGAAGTTCATCCACCACCTCATCAGCAACAAGTACTCGTCCGGTATCATGATCACCCACGTGGCCCTCTCCCCGGCGGCTCGCAAGATGCTCATCACCATCGAATCCTTCGCCAAGGTTGAGTGCTTCCTCGAGGAGGATCTGCTCGTCAACATCACCAAGCATGAGCTCGTACCCAAGCACATTCTGCTTAGCCGCGAGGAGAAGATCGCCCTGCTCAAGCGCTACCGCCTCAAGGAGACCCAGCTTCCGCGCATCCTGCAAAAGGACCCCGTCGCCAAGTACCTCGGACTCAAGCGTGGGCAGGTCGTCAAAATTATCCGTACCTCGGAGACGGCCGGTCGATACGCCAGTTACAGATTGTGCGTATAAGCTTTGCGTTGCGCCTCGCCTCTGGCCGCGGGGGCTGAGAAAAGGGACGACATAGAAGAAGGAGAAGACGAGACGGAAGAGGGGAGTCGCGCGGGCTGGGATTGGGTCCCCCCCTTTTTTGACAGGATGACTGACGCCCGGCGGACGGGGGAGGGAGTTTAACTATACTCTTTGCATCACTCTTGAGTCTGGCGTTGAGGGAACGGCTATGGTCTGCTGTTTTGTGTATGACAAGAAAAGAAAAAAGAGGGGTTCTTCTAGAAGGAGAACACAAGGTACCTAACTTACTATTTACATCGTTTTCATCATAACACTTCGCTTGGGCTGACGGGTGATATCTCGGGAAGGCGTCAGGGGTCTCCTCTGGGCCTCGAATGAACGAAAACATGAGCATATGGGGATACTCTGCCTCGATATGTGACGAGCCCTAGGCGTATCATCGTCGTTCCACGTCGGGGCCAGGACGCGGACCACGGGCGTCGTGGTATCGATGGAACCTTGTATATATGAATGCAGCAAAGCCGGAGAAGGCCGACGTCAAGAAAGGGCTGAGACAAGCGACGACTGATTTTCTCGCCGCCACTACTCGAGTCGTGACATGGATAGGCACCGGACGAACTCTTAGTGGAAGCCACAACACAACACGACATAACACGACGCGAAACGACACACAGCCCCAGTATCAACCGTTGCGAACAGACCGCCGAACCCAGACTGACTGTTATTCTCTGACCCTCCTTTCTCTCCTTATTTCATTCATGCTGCCCAGGGCTCGGTACCAGCCCATAAAGGCCTCTTGGGTGGTATGAAAAGGGAAGAAAGGAAACCCCCAAAATAGGAATGAAAAAAAAAAAAAAAAACACTCGTAAGTTCGCAAACCGCGGAACGGTGGTCCACGGCTGGTCTCGCCGTTTCTTCCCTCCTGCAACATCCGTGCCCGTTCGGGGTTTTGGCGCGGGCAGGGGCACTACTAGGAGATGTACCCCTGCACAACGGACGGAAGGGGTTTGCGCCAAAGGAACGAATACTAGGGCGGGGAAGAAAGATGATGGGGAAAGAGAAAAAGAAAAAAAAGTTCCAGGCACGGAGGTTAGTTCGTTTGGACCAAGTCGACTTGGGGGTGGGGGAGTAAAAAGTTGGATTAGGTTCAAGAAATCGAAGCCCGGAGCCCAGAACGTAATGACTTGGGGGGGAAATTGGATGGAGGGGAGGTGTTACCGGCACCGCCGCCGGGACCCGGGCAACCGGGATAAAGTCAGTCGTTGTGGCAGTTGGTTCAGGAACAGGGCCCCAACCGATCAGATCCTACAGGGACCAGGCTGTATAGCTGGCATTATGATGTGCGATTTGGAAAATTTTAATGACAACGACACGCTGCAAATATACTTCATGTACCATTCCATTTAGCGCAGAAATTGTCGATTCGTAATACTGTCGCAACAGGCTTGAAAATACAAACATGATGGCGCATCTCGCCGGGTATATGTTAAACGACAAAAATGCCGGCAGCTCGCGATATCCTCGTAACCACCCCGGAGGCGCACATCAGAGAGGCCTTTGTACCTCAGATCGCATCTTCCCTCAGCGCCCCAAAACTCCCTTGGTCATGAACGATCCCTCCTCGAAATGCAGGACACTGTGATTGAACATATCCAACTCCTCCTTCAATTCGACCTGAAAACAAACGCCGGTTGACGGCTCTAAACCTTTATAACTCCTCATTCCTTCATGATAATAAAACTTTGTTCCAACATGCCTGTTGAAAACCGTCGTTACACACAGACACATGTTGACTCGTAATGTGTGGTTGCCGATTTATGGATGCGGCAAGTTGAACCTGGAAGCGAGAGCATGGTAACTTGCTTGGAAACGCACCCCGTACTTATTTTAGGGCTACTTCAAGAGACCGCCAGGGTCACTCAGAGTAGGCTCGCCGGGTCGAGGGTTGTACGACGGATGATCGTCGTACTGCGACTGCGGGATCGGTTGTAGCTCAGTGCCTGTCCTGGGTCTCTGATATGGACTTCTCGTGCTGAGGGGGCCCGCGAGACCACCAAGGTCTTGCAGGAGCGCTGTTGAGCCGCGCCGTAAGCCGTTGGATGGAGCGAGCATCGTCGGCGAGGGTATGCTGTGGCCATCGACCGACATCGGGTCCACGCTCGAGACGATGCTATCTCTACGGAAAGCTGGTCCTGCTCCGGCTTGGTCTTCCGATAACAGGCCCCCCACATCGAAGAAGGAGACCTTCCGCGGCGTCGTGGTGGAGTTACTTCTCGAAGAAGAGAGGTCGTGGAGTATAAGCGACGCATCGCTACGTTCGGCGTTGCTTCTTTGCCGCTGTGGGAATTGCCACTGTCTCAGCTCCTCGCCGAATGGCCTGGCAACTGGCGCAGGGGTGTAACGAAGTTCTTCAACATCAAGATCGTCTTGCCCGGCCCGTTCTCGGAGATCAGTGTCGACCCCTAGACCAACATCGCGCACAAGATCCTCATCACTTCCCCAGTGTCGGTGAAGCGTGGGCCGTCGTAATGAGGATCCCCGCTCCACAGAGTCTGCGCCAACGGAGCCGTATTTGAATTTCTGCTTCTTGAGGCCTCGATCTCGTACAAACGAACCAAGAACCAGCGCGTTGGCCGCCGTGGTCGCAAACAAAAGTTCGACTGATGCCAACACCGATCGCAATTGTTGCCTGCCGCGCTCCTCGATGACGTGAGGGACGCGGTAGATGGTGACGCCGATCACGGCTAAGCTGAGAGAGAAGAGTAACGTGAGTTGGACTTTTCTCTTGATGTTCATCTGGCTGCGCAAGATGATTGGAATCGGGAAAAAGACGAGGAGTAAATCGGTGAGGATGTTGCAGGCCGCCATAGTAATGAGTTGCGCAAACCCTTGGCGGCACTGGCCTCCCGGGTCGGGAGTGACCTGCCAGTAATGGTTAAATGGCTGGCATTCCGCCAGATCGCTGATAATGATGGCGATAAACGTTGCGACCAAGGTACATCGGATGAAAACGAGCGTCTGTTCGTAAGAACGTGCCCAAGTGACGCCAGTCAGGCGCTTGAAGAACTCCAAAATAGTGTTTTTTAAAATCCACAATCTGCACAGACAGAGTGTTAGAAACCCATTCTACCGTCTTGACGAATGCGGAACTCTGCGAACCCGTTGTGGGCGGCATGAGCGGACGTGGCTGGGGGTTCGGTAACTTACGTCGCTGCGTGGAAGATGCGGCTGACAAGCACGAGACAGCTTGCAATTGTCTTCCTATGCACCTCTTCGCTGGACAGGGTGATACTGTCGAATTGGGCATTGTTGGTTCCATAGAGCAGAACGAAATGCACGCAAACCATTCGAAGCCATAGCGGTATCAGAGCGAGTGCAGCGACTTTATCCTCTTGGAACAGTTTCTCGGTGCGGATAAAGCGGCCGGCGACCCGCAACAAGATGATGACGGTGCAGAACGACGTGATCCACCAGCAAACAAGCAGAGAGGGCTTGTCCTGCGAAAACTTGCGCAACTCGGGCGGCTCAGTGTAAATATTCATGGTGGATTCGGACAATCCACGCCCGTCGACCTCCGCAGAGGGCACGACGAGCGAGGAGGTGGCTGCGACGTCGAAGTTCGAAGAGTTAGCTGTTCAGCGTGCGCGTCCACTTTCGCGGGGGGGGGATCGGTTCGTGTGGATGTCACAACGGCTGATATTGGCGATGATGTTGAGATAATGGAATTCGTCGGTTGGCGGAAGACGAGCAAAAGGCTGTTAGGGTGGCTCGTAGGCGTATCGTAGCGACTGTTGCGTCTGATGCATGGACTCTGCGGTTGCGAAGGGACGAACGGTACGACATGAAGCAGGCCGGGTCCGGACGTGACGGAAAGCGATGACAAAGTCGGGCGTATAACCGTCTCGACAACGACGAGAAAGAACGCTACGGATTCCTGTCTTTCTGCGCCGACAAAATAGCAGAGGAAATCGCAGGCATAGGTTAAGCGTGATGGAAGGAGAACATGAAGCCCGGTCCCGATGCTGCGGAGGAGCGGATGGAAGTAATACTTTGGTTGCACCGAGCAGGGCGCAGATAGGGACAGGCCTCTGTGAGTATACCTCTGCTCGTCTATACATTAGTGTGGCTCCCGGTAGCCGTACGAAGGTGGGTGATGGGATAGGCTGGTCTGGGATGGCCGAGTTGGGGGTAATCAAGGATACCTGGTGATGGTCCCTTTGCACGCTAGGGATGGGGGGGGGATTCAAGCCCTTGGAGGAATGGGAAAACGGGGGCGTGGGACATGGTGACAAGGGGCCGGGTGAGGGTGTGTATACGGTTCAGGAACTTGATGGTGTGCATCAGCAGCTTTTCTTGGCCAATCCCAATCCCGTCGGTTGAAGGACCAAAGTTCGGAGGTTGCGACGAGGTTGGATTGGCGGCGGGTTCGACTCGACCAGAAAGCACAGGGGTGACCATTTCAGGGCTGAGCCGTCGGTTGCCCGTCCTCAAACAGACAACTCTCACGCCTTACAGCGCTCCCTCCTCCAGCACCACGTACCCGTCCTTATTCGCAGTTCGTACTGCGTTGGACCTTTGCGCAGCTACAAAGCACAGCGGTCGGCTAAGGTACAGCTGCCAACCGTTGGGTTGCTCGCTGGTATGACGCTGATCTCTGATCCCAGGCATGAATGATTCGCTCATGGTAAGGGGTTTCGCAGCTGGCTGCAGAGCTGCGAGCTACACTGATAGTTAGTGTGCATAGCTTGCTGGTCGAGTCGCTCGCTTTGAGAGCAGGTATCTTGATCCAGAGGCAATGTCTCACTCCAATCGAATGTTGGACCCAAAAGCTAGGTGGCGTGAGAAGAGCTTGACGTCGTTCCGTCACTGGGGGAGTCGTCGCCCTCGCCACACTGGTTGCTGCGGCTGGACAATGGTCGAGACTAAAAGCAAAAACATGGCATCGAAACGGCCCCGCTGGCGGTCTTGCAGCATGCGCTAACTGCCTCAAGCTGCGCGCCTCCTCGCCAACGTGAGCAACTGCCGACAAATGGGTGATGTCGCTCAATCCGTTCGATCGTAGTCGTGACTCGTTGGTACTCTTTAATCACTGCGACAGCGACGGCACGACATGCAAATACCATGCTCCTCAACGGAGCAAACCGACCGTGCACTCTGCCCTGGGCTTGACTGTGTCGTCGCCATGACTGACCGCTTTGAACATCCCACCCGCATTGTCTAATCACTGCGAGAAGCAGCGCGCACCACTGGTTCCAGGAGCTGAAGTTGGCCAGGAGCTTCTGGCTGCATTGGCATGTGTTTCGTTATCGTGTGCTGGCGTGAATAGCCAACGAAAGCTCTCCCTGCGTGTCTCGTCTTGTCTTGACTGCCTGCGAGGCCGTCTCAATCGTTATTTCCCAGTTGCGTGCGCCTCTCTCCACTTAGATAAGGCGGTGGCAGACGAGAGGCCGGTTCGTGTTCGTAGTGGGCCGGCCGTTTAAAGGCCGTTGCTTTGTGCGCACGCCCCCTTGGCCGACATGGATGACATGGCCGAAAAAAGTTGCGAAGTCAGTATCCGTACCTTGGCTCATCGAATCAGCACCAACCATCTCCTCGCCCCGCCCCTCCTACTCAATCGTCGGTACCACAGTCAGCGTACAGGTTTGGTGCTCCATCCCCAGGCGCGGAGACAATGCGGAGGCGGCGGTTTGGCCCTTGCCCTTTTTCTTTACCGGGGGCACGTCCGCGCCGGCAACTGCCAGAATAGGCAGCCGAGCCACCAAGGAACGGCTGCTGAGTGACAGATCTAGGTAGTGTCCGTGTGTGCCAACGGGTGCTCTGCCCTTGCTGATTAAAGGTTGGCGGCAAGGTCGAGGGCATTGGTAAGCTGAGCTAAGGACAGACAGGATTCATCTTGCTGCAGGCAGCAGAGTGGCATGTGTTGCCTCGATACATTTGACTGCAGATATGACCTGATGGCAATGGACGGATGAGACTTGGGGGCCTTGGAAGGAAGGAACAGAGATAACCGCGTTTGGCGTTATTGGGCTCATGCCACAAATCGAGCTGGGGAACATGGGCCGGCAGTGTCCATGCGTCGTCAGGGCATTGATCTTTCCCTGGCGTTTTTGACGGCACAGCAAGACTGCCCGGACAGACGGAAAGCTCGTTGTGTCGGGTCTTGATATGTGCAGCATCGTGGGGGGGATTGATGCCTAGTGGCCTGGCCCGGTCAACTGGACTTGAGCATGGTTGGATTGAGTCGCGTTTCGGTAGGGCTCCAAAAACGGACAGCTGCATCGCCTCGTGTGCTCCCCGATTTTCAGCAGTAGGCAGAGTCGTATCTCTAGCTCTGATATGTACTAGCGTTGATATGGCGCGCGGTAAGAACTCGAGCCAAGGCGATAGTTGAGCTGGCGCCGAGCTCGCTCATGGCAGACCACACAGCGGCGCCGAGAATGCGTGCATTCGGCCAAGGGAGGGCGCGCGGGCGAGAGGCAGTACCTATAATAGGACGCAATCGAAATCAGGAGATAGCAGCTGACCACGTGCCAATGTGCCCAGGATACCGATATGCGCCTTGCTCGATGTCTCTTGGGACATGGTGAACGGCCTCGGTGAGCAGGCGTAGAGCTGTTTGGTCAATTGACGGTAGCGGACGAGACATTGGCTGCGATATGTCGCACGTGGGACGCGCTTTAGGTGAGGTAAGGCCAGGCAGGCAGCACTGGCGGCATCCCGCGGAATCGACATAATGACGGAATGCCGACGTCTTGAAGGGAGAGGGGAGCTGAGTGAACGTTGCGGTTGCAATGAGGCCGAGGCTGTTCCTATTCTAGAGTGAAGTGATTTCCGAGGAGGGAACTAATTAGTTTAGCATTCCATCCGATTTTGAGTTCATTCAATGTCAGGTCAGAAATGCAGGGTGTTGGATACCCAAATGAGAAGAGGATAAGGTACCTACCATGTAAGGTGGTGTGTGATGGGGGACGAGTTGGAGACAGATCGCGGAGGGCCAGACCTGAGGGCGATGGATGGAGGAAGAGAGTGTGGCTAGGGCGTGGGGGGATAAGGCAAGGGCGTGGTCAGAGGGAAGGAAGGTAAGGACGGCAAGGAAAGCACGGTGAGTGGGCCGGCATCGCTCTTCCTTGACACTCGACTCTTTTCCTCCGGGCTTATTTTCGCTCATTTTTGTTTTCCTGCTTCCGCAATGCTGTGACCCAAAATCTTTGGAGGCAGGCTTCATCTTACCTACGGATACATGTATCTATCGCCTCACTCAATCGGTCTCGGTTCCCTGACGAAGGATGATAAGTCTGACTTGGGGACTGGCCTACCTAGCCACAACGGGGGGCAAAAATCCCCGTTGCATATCATATTGCACAGGGCTTATGTGTGTACAGTCAGAGAGGCCCTTGACTCACTCTCTCGACTGACCAATCACACACGATAGTATGTGGCATATAGGTACTATTCAGTCCGGCAATGCCTATCAGAGGTAGGTACCTACCTACCGACAGGCATCCGCACGCTACTGATACCTACTTAGGTACCTACTCTTACGTAGTACTTCGGATGTAATTGCATGTCGCATCCAAAGAGGCCCGCCATGTCTTGCCCTGTCGCCCTGCGCTGCGCTGCGCTGCACTGCGCTGTCCTGCTTCCCTGCATGTGGCCTTGTGCCTATCCACCCAACAGTGGGCAATGCGGGAGAGACCATCTCGTCATCTGTTGGTCGAGGCAAAGCAGCAAAGTGGGTGACACGGCCGCCGCAGCTGGGGAAACAAACAGGGCACCGGCAAGGTAAAGCAAGACAGCGAGCATCAGGGGAAGCATGGGCCACCGCTTAAGGTACCTAGGTAGCCTATGATTTCCCCCTCTCCCGTTTCCCAGTCATCGGGAACACTTGATGGGATCGACGGCCTGTACTCCATCTACCTACATACTAGGTATGTACGTCTATGGTCTACCTAATCTGCCCACTACCCAGTCGTGACAGTCGTTATGGACCACGAAGGGAGGTGGTGGGCGGTTCGAAAGGTCTCTTGAATGGTAATGAGCATGTCAGCTGGTCGCACAAGAGCAAGGAGTTATACCTACAGGCCCAGTAATGATGCATCGCAATGCAAATACCCCTAGGTAAGTGTATTAGTTGGACAAGATGCCCCCCTTCATCTCTTTCCGTCTCACGCACTCGCGGCTCGGTTACGGTCCCACCCGCAGTGACATACCGTAGTACCTATCTAAAGTACCTACCTACCTATCTGCCTACTATGTTAGGTACCTAGCTACGTAGCGTAAGTACATATGTACCGGTATGCGATACTCAGACTCTGTTCCCAACGATCCTCTCGAGGCTGCCACCCCACCTTACCTCATCATACCGTTCTGCCATTACCTCGCAACAACCATTATTATACGAACGGACGGATAACCAGAGGTACCCAGAGATAAGGCGAAGTGACCTCTTCGATGCTGCCGCTGCCCCCACGATTCTTCTCAACCCAAGAATCCAAGCACGACCCACCACGATCAACGATCCGAACGCAACCCGTTGTCCATCAAGATCCCATGGTCACGCTCGACACCGTCAGCCATCTCAGACGTCCAGACTGCCGCCTTCTGTCGGCCACTCCCTTCCCATCATTTTTCAATCGAGGCTCTGCCGGCCGACACTGCCTCCAGCCACTTGTCTTAAACGGCTTGATAGTCTGTCCCCAGGCCGTGCACGGCTTGTCTTTGAAGCTATTTCAAGCCAGATTGATGGCTTCTCTGGTCTATCTGTCATTAGCGCCAAAGCCCTTTGGGAATTCGACAGGATGCCTCCAAGGCAACCTGACGGAATTGCCGCAGCTGTGTCTGTCTGCCTCATCACACCGCTGCTCACGCGGCACCGTTCCAAGCCTCGATCCGAGCCAACGAGCCAATGTCAGTCCTTGTGTTCGTGCAGGGTACCCACACCGCCAACAGATATTGAAGCAGCGAACGTCTGACTGGGATGGGAATACAATACTCCGTACTGTACGCCGAATCCTTACAAACCTAACTCCCCGAGGAGGGCCCATCGTCAACTCTTTTAATGTAGCTGGCGACCGGACACAATCCACACGCTCTTGAGGGCCAGGGGCACGCCGTTTCTATCGCTCGTGATGCCGACCAGGGCACAACACTCGGCTTCACGGCCTGTTGAAGAGTTTCACTGCATGCCTGCTAGCTTGCCCGACTGAGCAGGTCTTTTCCGATGATGCCAGTCACTTGGGGGGGGCGCAGGGTGGGCGCTAACATGATGCGAGCCAATCGACGAACCCCAGCCTTTCGACATTCAGCCATCCAAGGTGATTTATCAACCGCCAGGTCGATCGATGCCCGCACCCCATCCGTCCGCCATGCTTCGTCTCCGGGCTAATTACCACTCGCCAGATTGGGCCACCTACCTCCGATAGCCATTTCTACTTCAGGCTTGGTTCATCCACCAGCCCAACTCCTACCTAGCCAGAGGTATATTTCATCCACATTTTGCGTCTCTTTTTGATGCCGACATTGTCCTCCGGGCTTATGGTCTCAACTCCACGTGGAGGAAGAGTGGCCCATAATCGGCAAGCGAGCAATAATTACCCCGGCCAAGCCTGCGTGGGCGGCAGAGACACCTCAGCATGGGGCTCGTCCAAAACCCTATTGATCGTACAAACGCAGTTGCATCTCAGCATTTGAATGAGCCAGCCTCCTTGAGCTTGGCCGCAAGCTTCGAACGTGTCTGGGTTGCCCAGTCCACTGCGATCTCCCGCCGAACTTTATTTACTCCAGGTAATGCCGGGTGGAAAACGCTCGGACAGCAAAAGTCACCAGCCTGCTACTACTGGGTTACAGAGCGATGTGTACCTGATAGGTATTGTCCGTCGGAAGTTCACAGCATGCCAGGCGGCCTTGGACATAACATCGTCCGATCAACAAAAGTTTCCGACGTCCGTGGGTAAGGTGCCTTGACCTTGCGCAACGGAGACATTCAACGACGGCAACGGTAACGGTAACGGTAACGGCGACGGCGACCGGCTATCGGCTATGAAAGGCCAATGTTGGACCTGGTTTGTTTTGCGCCTCCTTGGTTCAAGTCTTTGGGCCAGGAGCCGTTAAGCGTTAATCTCGAGCTCGTCAAATCGAACCGAGATAATCAGCAACGGCACTTGCTCTCTGGGATCTTAAATGAACACAATCTCGTCTCCCGCCCCGGTACCGCCTACTATGTCTATTTCAAAGAACAACTCAATCTGGACTGCGAAACCAGGTTCGGTTTGGGTGTGATCGGTGCAACGTCCCTGGGATCGGTTGCAAACGTCCTTCGAGGCTTGGCATTATTCAACCTTTGGCCGTGTCGTTTCGGACCAGTACACCTAGGTACAACTTCCATTCACCCGAGTTACAGGTTCAGAAAAACTTTAAAAGTCGATCACCAAGACCATTGCAGACCGTGTCGCAGATATCCGTACATACTCCTTGGGATCATCCTCGGAAAATGCCAATCCTTGTTTGCCATAGACCTGCGGCTGGGTTGTGCGCAGCTTCCCGTGGTGAAACATTGTCGAACCCGAGCACGTCCATCTCTGACGTTGGAAACTGTTGATGGGCCATATCACAATTACCCGAGTACGTCCAGTATCAAACTTGGCCCATATAGTAGACGTCTGCGACCCCTTGCACCGTGTCATTCTACAGCATCGGCGTGAGAATCGGCTCTGGAAGCGAGTGTCTGCCTGTCTGAAAGCCTCCCAAAGCCACCCTCCTTGTCGGGGCACCACGGCCTTCGCAGATGTCCGTCATCCTGGTCTGACCTCATTTTGTCGCAAATCAGATGGTGGTTGAATGCCTTTTAGCAGCTTCCACTTTGAGTTTCGCCCCGACTTAATCGTCCCACTCACGTTTGCCACCCGGTACATTGATTTAGATATGGGCCGAAGGCGGCGAAAACCATTCCGAGTGTTGCAGTATTCCTAAGTAGAAGTTGCCGAAGATATGACAATTGCGTGGTCTTTCGTCATGTCCCGAAGAGCCTTTGGCTTCCTCCTACTTCTATGGATGTACTTATACTGCTTGTCTTAGACCGAGCTGCTCCACAACGCGTGTAAGGGACGCTTTGTCGGCTTTGCTCCAGTCGACGCTCTTCAACGAGTCCGCACGGCCACTCTCGCTGAAAAGTTTCCACAGTTCGTCGACGACAAGGCTTCTCACCCTGGGCCAGGGGTGAAACATCAAAGCAGCCAGCCTCTTCCTGGCCTCCAGGATGCCGGCGCGTTTCCCATCTCCCAGCGCTACCGGTACGGGGTCCGGACCAGCCTCCTCGCTCTCCTCTTCGAACCCAGCCAGGCAACCGTAGACCTTGATGCAGGCCTCAAGCTTCCTCACGCTGCCCGTCTTGTACGCCGCCTTCTGGACCTGCAGGCACAAGTGCCGCACGTCGACGTACGGACACTTCTGGAAGAGCCCGACGTGGCAAAGGAACGCCACGATCTCTAGCGTCGGCACTACGACGCGGTCCTGCCCCTGCCTGGTCTTGACGTTGCTCACCAGCGCGGCGCAGACGGCGGCTAGGTTTTGCGGCGACGCGGCGCAGAAGTCGGCCAGTGCCGCGCGGGACGCGATCACCAGGTCCTCGTTGCCCGTGTCGGCGGAGGTGACGTAGCCCGCGAGCAGCTCGGCCATCCACGCACCCACATCGGCCTTGGCAGGCTGCGATATTCGAGGGTGCAGGCCCGCATCCAACGAGTATAAGTCGAGCAGCGTCCGGAAGTACTCCTTTGACGAGTAAGTGAGCTTGGCAAAACCCGATGCGAAACTGAAGGTTTCCTGTCAGTGAAGCTTTTCTTGCAATCCTTGGCACTGAGTCGCGTGACCCTGTATAAGGGTTCTCACCTTGATTCTAGGTTTAAAGCAAGGACCGCATGCGCCTCGGTGCGGACGCGATCCAGCTTTTCGGCAGCCAGCCGCAGGGTTCTGAGGAACAGCCTCGAGACTGCCAAGGGCAGCCATGCGTCGACCCCGTCGGAAGCCGCACCACCGCCACCACCACCAGAGCTGGCCTCCGCCAAGGCGGTCTTCCACAACGATTTTGTGGCCCGGAGCGCCTCGAGCCTGACGTGGGAGCCCACGTCTCCCCTCGCATTGGTGGTATAGTCGTTCAGGCCCTCCGCCAGCAGGTCCAGAAACACCAAGGCCCGATCGTGGAGCATGCCGCTCTGCGACAGGCTCTGCAGAATCGCCACGCGCGTTTCGATGTCGTTGTCGCTGGCCCACCTCGTCAGGATGGTGTCGCAGACCAGGTCCTGCCCTTCCGCCTGCGGGGCGCCAAAGGTGGTGGTGACGGGGTAGGCCATCGTCAGGGCGAAGAGGACGCCGGTGTCGTTTGCCGTGCGCGACGTCGGGCGCTGTCGGACGGCGCTCGCCCACCCCTCGATGATGCGCCTGCGCTCCTCGGCGCGGGAAAATATCAGGAGCACGAGGGAGGCCTCGGAAGACGCGGCGATGGCTTCCTTTTCTGGACGGGCGAGGCCTGCGTCGGCTACGTAGTTGAAAGTCGATACTAGAGTAGCCAAGTTGTCGGGGATCTTGTCGAGGGCGTCGACCGCCTTCATGGCTCCGAGCAGGTCGCCGATGTTTTCGGTCGACACGACCTTGAAACCTGGTTGTAAGTACGTGCAGGCGCTATTAGGTGTCGACGCCGCTTGTAGGATAGGCAAAGACGAAGTAATCAGCCGGCTGGCCGCCTCGGCGACCAGTTCCGGTTTTCGATACGTCGTCGTCTGAAAGTCCTTGAATATCGTCTCCAGGTCGCGGATGATGCGCTGCGTGAGATTGGTGACGCTGTCGACGGGCTGCCTGCCCGCGACCAGCTCCGGAAACCAGTCCAGCACGGCGGCGAGACAGAGGAGAAGCCCGTGCCTCTCGTCGACCTGGCGGTTCTGGAGCGTCCGTAGGCGAGCGAGGACTCTGTCGATGGAGGCCGCGAACTGCTCTATACACCTGGACGGGTCTTGCCTCGAAAGCTCCATCGTAAGCGTGCCAAAAGATGCGCCGGCGTCACGTCGCGCGCTGGCGTCGGCGCCACCTATCCCGCGCCAGCCCAGCAGCCCATCCAGCAGCGCGGCGCCGTACTGCGAGGAGAGCTTCGTGGCGTTGAGGGCGACTTCGTGGACCGCGCGGGACCGCAAGGCGACGCCGTGGTAGTCGACCATTGAGGTGTCTATTGTCGACGCAGGGTCAACATTAGGTACCTCAGAATGACCCCTATTCTTGTGGAAATCCAAGCTGCGCCTGTACTTAATTGGGAGGAGTCGAATTGACTGCCCCTACTAATGGCTCTTTTCCTCCGTCTTTAAAGTATTATGTCTGGGCCCGTATAGTCGGCGGCAGGTCGGTCAGTGACAGTTGTTCGATACCGTGACCCTAACAGAGTCGCCCTAAAGCTGGCACTCGAGGATTACTTACCCGTCGTCAAC